CCAAAAATGACCATGGAGTTGCTTTTTAAGTTGGGCACGTGGAAGGCTAGTATAAAGAGTCTCAGCATGAAAAGTCCCAAGGTTACGAACTGTGATTAAAGATAAAGATGAAGCTCACATGATTTTTCCCAGGAAAGCTGTTTTCCTTCAGTACATGGATAACGGTTACCCAATAACCTGCTGCGGAATTATCGATGATCCACATGCAGTTAACACCTGTCCTTACTTTCCTTTAATTAAAAACGCCTTGCAGTAAAAGCGGTGCAGTGGGTGCAGACCAGTTTAAGACACTCAGTAATTAATTTAGAGAGCCTAGTTGTAGTGCATGAACTTGAACCTGCAATAAGTCTTGCCTTGTACGGTGTCTTGTGAAGTTTAGGAATGCAATATATCTGTGGCAAGCTTTTCTCCTTCTGTTGTAATTTGATGTCAAATACCTCCTCCAATGTTGTGGCGTGGGTCTGTATTATATCATCCACTGTACGATCCTGAGTTACATATGTAGAATTACGATTTCTTCTTGAATTTATGCCAAGCTCTTCCATTAGAGTATGTACGTAATAATATTTACAAACAAAACTGATGTTGTTGCCGGCTTTATCTGCAGGAACCAGGACATATCGGGGTGCTATTGAGGCCAAGCAAAAGTGCCAACCACAGCCAACACCAGCAATTCAACCTGACAGTACTGAAGACTGGGAGTCTGGTATTTGATGCTTTTATTTGAATTTTTAGGCTCTCATGATCAGGAATCAAACAGGAAGGAAAACCCGAGCGGGCAACATACAGTATATACCTATCTTGGCCACCTGGGTATCCAACTAGAACAAGGGAATTGCTTAATCTTTGCCACCTGTAGAACCAGCCATATAATAATATTAAGTGATATTGCATTTTCAGAGGCTGTTAGTGAACCCTTTTCAATAGCAAGGTCTGAACCATCTAACAAACAAGAAGATGCTTATGATATTGTACAAGCTATGCAAGAGGTTCAGCTTCAAGCACATGCTGCTCCTCCTAGACCAGTTGATACCTCAGGGTGAGTAAAGACAGTCGGACATGTATAATAATGTTCTTACGTGTAATTCAAAGTTACAGTCAAACATTTCTAATACGGACGCCAAAGGAACAGAGCGAAATGTCTGTGTTAGAGAGATGTCTGTATAAAAGAGGTCACTATGATGACATCACTTTTATGACTCCACTTTCAGTTTTAAGTGTTCAGTAGCTAAACCCAGACTCACAGTCGTCTTTAGACTGCATTTAAAGTTATTAATTCACAGTGCAAAGACACTGTCTTTCAGTAGCATACAACATTGTACATATCAGCTACAGACAAATTACTGTTTTTAAACGAAATGAGCTACAGCACAACGCTGCATGTAAAAAGTTGTAATGTAAAGCACAATTCTGAAAGCATCTTCTGCTATCTGTAGTTATTGAATCCTTCAAAAAGTCAGTTATGTTCCTCTGTACACGTTTTGGGCTTTATATCACCTTACATATCACTGTATTAGAGAGGTGTCCGTACCGAGAGGTTCGACTGTATGTTAGCACTTGGCGGCAAATGGTATTGCTTTTTATTGAATGGTTGGATGCGTGACCAACAGGCTTTTAGCCAGCCTTGGAAACTGGGCGTCCAGAGGGCATGTTTTCCCTTAAAATTATAAGAGATTAAGTGAATTTTTTTTTCTTCCAAAAATGAGCATCCATAGGACAGCTGGACACCCTTCTGGCTAAAACCTTACCGACCAAGTTGTCATTTAGGTGGGCGAAAACAACAAATGATGTGCTGAGAAGTCGAAGTTGAACTTTACTTCCTTCTTTTGCAACTGATTATTACAGGGACAAGGACACTTATGTTTGGTCATTGCCATATGAGCCACTGTTATGTTAAGGCTGGTAGAGTGAAAAAAAAATAATGAACTGGACAGTTATTGGACAACAGAAGAAGGGTTACCCTGCCAGCAGTGGTTTTCAGATATGGGGACAGAGATTTCCCTAGACTTGATACTTCCAGTTAAAATCCCTTATCCTGAAGCATGCCCTTTGCGTCCGTTTGGGTACAAGTCTAATGCAACAGGGGATGTTCAAGTTTTGAATTGATTGGCACGTAAGGATACTGTCCATTTCAGGAAATTGTTAGTTATAGAATTACAATGTAACTTGTATTTTAGTCAAGCATCGGTACTTTCTAGCAACATTCAATGGCTTTTTTGAGATGATTTTAACCACAAAGGGCTTTTTCAATTTAGTTTAACAGCAACACAGAAGAAGAACCTAAAACGTTCTCAAAAACGGCAAGAGAAGAGGGAAGCTGAAGAGTAAGTGTGTCTTGCTACTAGTAATGTTCTCTGTTTCGTGAGAAATGGGCTCAGAAGCAACAATAAATGATAATGATAGTAATGTTGTTATTGTCCTACTATGGATATGTTTATTTATTTGTAGTTTAATATTTTATGCTTGGTTTAAATTTTATTTTCTGTTGTTATTGGGTATGATAATGTATGATAACGAGTTGCAAACAAAATAGTGTCAAATGGGGTAAAATTGAACCGCAGCATTTTCTTTGAGTTGGTTTTTTTGGTTTTCTAGAAATGCTGATGAACCTCAGATGACAGATGAAGAAAGATTACAGGCCATTGCTAATCAGTATGCTGTCCTTAGAAATAAAACATCAGGTAGAACATAACAAAATGCCTATGTACATGTTGTGGTTAAATTTCATTATCTACCTCCTTTACCTACTTATAAACAAAGGAAAAGTAAGGAGGAAGCATGCCTGAGCCTTTAGGGCACTGGGCTGTAATCTGGAGGCCCAGAGTTCAATACCCCCCCTGACCACTAGCTGTATTTGTTCTCAGTAGTCTTGAATTCAAATCTTCGGCAACACTTGTAAAGTAGCCAAGTGGTTTGCCTCCTACAGTAACATTTAAACCAAGGATTAAATTGTACTGCAATATGTGTGATAAGAGAGAAGATGCCAATAAGTTCTAGGTGACTGAATAGCGAACATGAATAACAAGGTAGTTAGTGTTCAACTTGAACTATTCAGTTTTATGGCATCTTATTATGGACACTAACGTGATGTTGGGAGGGTGTCTGCAATAACAGTAGTTGACTGTGTTTGAAATTGAGGCAATTTTAAAACTTATGAGAGGGTACAAACCCAGATAAAAGGCCTCAACATGTTTCACCATTATTTAAAAATAATATATAAAGATACAATCATTGTTGATTAACTGGTAGATTCCCCTTTCATATTGCCTCATTTGTATGTGTCAGGTTAAAATTTTGAATCTAGGTTGATTCTCAATTTCTTCTGTCTCCTAGGGCAAGGACACAGGGAATTGAAAATCATCCTAAAGTTAACACAAAATTATCTTGAAGTCTAAAGTAATGTGACCTGTAACCACATTACTTTTTTAAAAATGAATATAACAATAGCATTCTCTTAAGACTGTCAATTGTGATTGCTTGTTATGTTTTCACAATTCCAGGCAGCTTTGTGGACTTTGTTAGCATCTTAAACCAATATTGCCAAAAAAGTCGAATTAATGTTCCCAAATACAGTGAAGCGCCTGGTGTGCTGGGTGGATATGGTTCACAGGTGTTTGTGAAAGGTCAGATTTTCACTAACATGAAGTACTGTGGTACTAAGAAGGAAGCAAGGCATGATGCTGCAAAGGTTGCTTTGCTTGGTCTCAACATCCCTGTGGGTTAGTGTGATCAATACTTTTTGTGTTCTTATGAAATACCAATAATTAAATTAAATTAAATCAGAACTTTACCTACAGATAAGGACGATGTTACAAGCAAGCTGTTTTAAGAAGTTTTGTAGGCAGTTAGGGTTTTGTACCTGCGTTTAATTTTTTTTAGTTAGCGAGTGCTTTTGCTTTGAGGAAATTGATGCAGGAAAAACCTGTCCCTTTCAAAGGCTTGTTGTAGCAACCATAGCTAATAATGCCTCTATTTGACATTAGTTGAGTGGAGAAAAGTTAAATTGGCCACCATAAATATTGTTTTGAGCTCCACCCTTTTGTCAGACCAGATTCTTGAATGTAGTAAGCGTGTTATTTACTCCTATTTACATGGAACTTTTAATTTTTTTTTTCCCTGTTATATGGCATTAATTTTATCTTAGGTGTATATTACAATTATGTATACTTATCATTTTTGTAACAGTTGACCCAACACCGAACAAACCAATGGCTGCAAGAACTGCTACAGACCATCAGAGACTAAGAGAAACACATGAGTTACATCTTCTGAACCAAGCAGGGCAGCCGCAGCCCAGGGGGAGGGGGCAGGGGCAGCCAGTAGTTAAACCTCCTAGCTCTTCTTCCATGCCATCTGCTGCTGCTGGCCCACCAGTCTCCCAACAGCCTTCTCAGAATGGAGGTGATGAAACTGCCTTCAACTTGCCTGAGGTAATGATCATTTTGCATTTTAGGTTTATTTTAACAGTGAGTCTGTTCATTTGGTGGTAGTGTCAAGGCAGGTGCACCAAGGTGACAACTCACATGGGACCACATGTCATGTTTTAAACACCTGTCACAAATTCAAATTTTAAAAGTCCTTTTGAATTGTTCAGCTTAAAGGGTTTGTACTGTGCGAGCAAAGGTTTCAGGGGCAAACGTCCCAGGGCCAAAGGAATGGGCGAGGGGGGGTGTTAGGGATGGGGTTATGTTTGAATATGTAGATTTTCTTCATTTTGTTTTCAGAGGTATAAATTTGAGACACTATTTTTAAGGACTAAGTTGTACAGTGCAACAACGAGAGTTGTTTGTTTCTTTTTTTACCCGCCTATTTAATCAAACAGACTAGCTTGAAAGAGCCTTCTTGGGTGAGCCTCACAAAGGCTCAGCATTATCTCGTCTACCTCAAATCTCTCAGAGTAGTATCTGGCGATCACTTGGAGATCAGAGAATTGCTGTCCAGGCATTGTTGACCTAGAGCAGGTCTTGATTCATTTCATCAGTGAAAACGATTGCTAGGCTTCTGTGCTTGTGATCGGTAGGGTGCAGGCAATGACCAGAAGGCAAAAGATGTTTGGAAAAGCATCTTCATCGCGAACACCAAGGGCTAATAAAAGGTTGTGTGGAAGCTATCTTTTGACTGCCACAGTGTTTTCCATCTACGTTCCTCATTTCCAATGGATTTCAGAAATGGAATGTCTTTCTCCCAGAACAGCTTGCCTTCTAGTTCATCATCCAGCTGCAGTGCCTTATTTACTATAATCGTTAGCATGAGACAAAGCAGTTGGCAGGCTTGGCGATCTTCGTCAGAAAATCGATCTTGCATTTGGATGATTAAGAAGTCAAGAAGAGGAATGGCTACAGTCATCTTGTAATGATCGATTGGACTGGAACATATATTATAACTTATAATATTATTTTTGGTATGAAAAAGGGATAGACATGGGTACCCAGACATAGTTTGAAAACTTCCCAAGGGGGAGGGTGGAACCCCCTCAATCCTCCCCCTGGATCTGCCTCTGGGTTTCTTTCTCTCTTCCATGGCTTTTAGCATTTACGAAGTTGTTCCAAGCCATGCGAGAGAAACCTCTGCTCGCAGTGTGTAAAGGTTTTGAGCAGAATGTGCTCTATTCGACCATACCATCACAAGGAAAAAAACTCCTTACCTTCCTAGCAAGAAAAGATCTTTCTAGAACTCTATTTGTTAATCATATTTTTACAAACATACATTGTCTTTTAATTTTCAGGCAACCAATGGTGAAGCTGTCTCTGATGAGTGGACAGCAGTGACCAGAAAAGGTAAACCATTTTAGTAAACAGATTCCATTTTTATTATTATAATTTTTAGTCAAATAAAATAATTTTAAAAAATTAAACAAATTTAAAAATTGTCCTCACTTTTTTCAAAATTTCAATATTATTGAAATGATACTTCTATTAGTCATGTTTCGTTATGCACACCCCCTTTCATGTGGACTCTTAGTTTGCTCTGTTTTGTGTCTGTTTTAAAGTCCAAATGACTTGGAGTAACATTTTATCCCTGGTTCTACCCTTGGTTCTTTTTCTATTCAATTTCACAAGAGACAATGTGATGGTAAAATTCATCATTTGGCAAAATGAGAACTGTTTTAGTGTAAAACTTAAACTTGTTAAACTTAGGAGTGGAGACTAGGGCCATATTCCTGTCTTTAATTTTGAGGTCACTTCACTGGGCCATTCATTTTGGAAGGGTTGTGACTAGAATGGATACCCCAAAGTCAGATTGTCATCTTCACTCAAAGTACATGATAGGAGTATTATAAACAGTAGGTAGTATGTAGGACTTGAACCCGTGTCATTTGATGTATAATCCATATCCACATCCACTACACCATCAAGGGCTAATTGCCGAGACCAGTTAATTTTGACGTACATTACATTATCATTACATTATCGAAAGCTAACCATTTTTAAAGCAGTGCTTAACCCTAATGACTGTACTTTGGTGATAAACCCTGTATTCAACTCTTTTCCTTGCACAACTGTCTCCTACTCCGATTTCCCCCTTTTTTCTAACAGTTCTCGTGCCCAATAAATGCACCCCAATATAGTATAGCGTGGTGTAGAGAATAGCGTTGTGTAATAATCATAAGGTGTCCACCCTGATTTTGAGGTATCCATGCTAGTCACAACCACTTTGGAAGAATCTGACAACAATTTTGATGATGAGTGACCCAGAATTTATACATTTATTATAAATGTTTGATTGCAGGTCTTAAGAACCCAGTTTATCAACACTCACTAAAGATGGCTGGACGTGGTCGAGGAATGATCAGGAAGTAAAATTTACTTACACATTAACACCAATTCCTGAAGACGTTAAGTGGGAGTCCATGAATACCAAACAAAGATATATCAAGCTTATCACAGATTTGAAAAGAAGCTTCTTTGTATTTCAGCTGTTGTGTTATGTAGTCTTTAATTATCGGGTATTACTGGGTTACCTGTAATACCTAGGGACACATGACTGATTATGTCCACGTTTGTGTTGCATTCCATCTGTGATTTTGGCAACATACTTTGTGGTAATAGATCCTGACCTGGAGCCAAGAAAGGTGGTTCTTAACTGAGGGAAAAATGATGACTGGGGCTAGAGCACCATCGCTGCATACATGTACTTGGCTAGTTATTGTAAGTTCCTGCTTAAGATGCTCCTGAAGCAGTGCAGTTCTTCAATATTTTCGCACAGCAGAAAGTTATTTATAATGTGTAAATATTTTAGCTTTTAGATTTTTAATGTTTATTGCTAGGGGAATTGAGAAGTACTGTAATCTCTCATCTCTGTTTAAATCAGTAGCTCTTGTCTGTTAATTATTGATAAGAAATTTTCCATTGTTTGTTAAGCACTGGGGACATTAGTCTCCCTCGCAGCCATTTTTAGAGGGGAGGAGTGTTGTATGATGACACTAAAAACAGCGGCAAGGGAGACTATGGGGACAAGGGAAATTAATAAATAGTGAAAACACAAAGTATTCTGTTATCCCAAGGATACTTTCAACACAATCAGGAATGATAAAAGCAAGATTTGAATACAAGATAAATTTTCCAAATTTGTTAAAATCATTAAATCACTAATGGAGGGAAGGTCTGCAGGTGGAAAATATTATAAGCAGTTTTCAAGACTTAGTGTAATAATGTACAGTGTACAGTTCACAGTGTACAGTGTTTAAAATGATAAAAGTTATTTTAATTCCCCATACTAATATAATAATGAAATAAATTTATACATGCACACATGCATATTAAATGATTTACCAAGGGAAACGTTATTCATTGTTTCCCTGCCTTCAGGCCTTCTGTTCCATTTTGCCAAAGTGTTATTGTTTTAAGTTGAAGTAAATGTTGCTGAGTAGGTCGTTATTTTGTACTTTGTGATTTGTTTTACAAACATTATTAAAATGACAGGCTGTAATTTTTTCTTCTCTTTGTCTCTGTTTTGTACTAAAGTATTTAATGTCAAAGTAACAAAACTGTGAACCCCTGAGATATTTTAGGAATGTTTGAGACAGAATCCATTTGGAAATTGGGTACGGTAATTTTAATTTTCAGTGGACAAAAATCTTGTACCCGAATAATTGTAATCATGTTGCCTTCTTTTCTACACTTTTTGGTGGCTGTAAATGTAATAAGTGATATAAAATAACTCCAAAGTAAAGGTTCTTATGGGAGCCCTGAGAAAACAAACTTCAAAAGCTTCCGATTTTCACAAAGTGAAGTCTCAGCAAGTCAGGCATGGCAATTTTACCTGTGTTTTCTCAGTTCTTGAGAAATTTGAAATTTATTTTCTTGGGCTCCCATAGAAACCATTTCTTTGAAGTTATTTCATTTAATCTATTACATTTAAAGCTCTTGAAATGTGTAAAAATAATGTTAGATCTTCTAAAATATTCTGGTAACTCAAATTTGTTTTTTCAAACAGTAAACTTCAATTGTATTCCAATAAATCAGTTAACTTTAGAGCACATTCATGTGTTTTTATGACCAATCACATTTTAAAAAAATAATTTATGCAAACAGTCTAAAACCAAGAAGTAAACTTAATTTTACATCGAGTTGATAGCCTTATATGTACCAAAAAATAGTAATCATCTTCGATCACATTCAACACCATTTATGGCTCTTGACACAGTAGAAGAAGCCTGAAAACAAATTCTTGGAAAACAAATCAGGCCGAATTTTTTGCGTTCGACAAGTTTCTTTTATACTTTTTACACATCATCTGAGGTGAAACAGTACCATGACGCACTGTTTTTACCATACAGACCTCGGACAGATCACAATTTTGCAATACAAATTCAATATTCATTCATTCAATATTCAGGACGATCGAAGCACCCGTGGGCTTTTACCGAAAGTGGTCCGTTAAAAAAATTCCCAAAATCACCTATACGACTCGTCGGTTCTCACTTTTGACAAGCGCCAAGGTCGACTGTTTAAATCAAGATTAATAGAGTTATACGCTTCAACATGATAAAAACTTTATTATGTTTATTTTTTATTTAATGGTTTTATAACGATGTGTAATCTTCAAAAGAGTTTGATTCACGCGGCATTTTGACTACTCCTGCAAGTGATGTTCGTGAGCGACTGAAAACAAACGGCACAGCGATTAAAATTGCAAAAGAGACTACAAACAATCAATAAAGGGATAATAATTCGGTGAAACATGTACAGGAACAACAATTTTCATTCTCGAAGACAAGTAAAAAGTGTCTCTGAAAATCTTTGTTTATGTTTTAAGCCGGCTTCCTGGCGTTTGCTTTTTTCAAAGATGAACTCGAGGCAAGAAAATCGCTCAAAGCTTTCTTTCACAGCCACAATTGTAACTAAATATTCTTTGGAACGTTTCTTTCTATTTGCGGTGAGAAAATGTCAGGCTTTTTAAAGTTCTATATAAAGCTTATAATCAAACCTGATACTCGGTCAGATCATTGTCTCAAATCTTACAAACGTGCATAAACTAAATAGCCGGCTAAACTACGCCCGACTTCATTAAATTAGATATAAAAAACAAACATCAAATACAATAATTACTCAGGCTTACCATTCGAGATGCACTGAAAACCACCAAGTAAGGCCAGAATCGCATCAGACTTTTCAACCCTCTTACGCGTCAAGCAAGGTGAAAAACGAAAACGGTGCCATCCAAAATCGGATTTCCGACCTTGACAAGCGACGTATTTCTCAACCAAAAACCCAATAAAAAAACTAGCTATGAATAACAGAAGACTCTTGATAGCAGCAGAAGTTCATTTTGTACATTCACTGTAAAAAGACAGTTAAAAACATCACAAGTTGACACAAAACTCTGTCAGCTTCAGCTGTCAAAGTAAACAAGTTTCAAAATGCTGCATAAATTTTCCGCATGACCTCACCTGTCAAATTTTGACCAATCAGAGCATAAAAATTGGACGTAGAGCGTGACCAACGCGTGACCTTGGTGAGAAAGGTCAAAAGCAACTGGCATGTCTTCCCTGACTGTAAAATCTGGCTGAATTTTAGCTTCCGAGGTCAGTTTGAAATCAAAATTTTAATTGTGCGGCACATATAAAACACAACATATTTCATATGAATTAAAAAAAAATAAACTTGGGCCTGCGATCATTTGAAAACTAGTAACTTGTCAGCGGATAACTTCAAAAAGGTACTCAACCTCGATGGGTCGACACCTGAGCCCGCGATACGGTCTGTTGATATTGGTCAGCGGATACCTGTTTTGACAGCTGTCAATTGGTCACAACATTGATGTACAATATGTGTGCAATATCAGTCTTCCTGTGCTCCCTAACTAGCTAGAAAGTGTGAGATTGAACATTGGTTGTCCTGTGGTGCGGACGGACGGGCGGGCGGGCGGTGTACGGTCACGTGATTACCAAATTTTCGGGGATGGGTAGATTTACTTACCCATGGTGCTCCGCAGGCGCGCTTCGCGCACCAGAGCTCCGCTAAAAAAGAATGTGATCTTGCGTAAAATATTCTGGTACAAGGGTTTTTCCAATGAAATTTCAAGTACTCAATTTCCTGATCGATTCCGTCTTAATGTGTTTTTATGACCAATCACAGCAAAGATCAGTTTATGCAAGCTGGACACAAAACCACCAAGTAATACTTGATGCTGCTGCTTGCAGTTTAGTCTCCCCAGTCACAGTCGTGAACACAATTTATGCAATAATTGTGGAAGAAGCCTGAAAAACAAATTCAGGACTTCAACAGGCTTCTTACGCAATTGCATAAATAGGGTTCTTTAATCGTAAAATGGTACTTTGTTTTGACCACTCATTACCTTGGAAACTAAGCAAATTCAATTTGTGAATTTTTTTGCATTAAAGCAGATCTCTGCATAGCTCATTATTTATGCCTGCTCATAACTTTTGTGCTTACAAATGTCATCCTAACATGGTAAATTCCATTTAAAAACTATAATAGTCAGGAATTGTTTATGCAGCAGTCTCCAATCCTTGTATGTGATAACAAGGTGCCAGTTGAGCAAAGTGATTCAAAGGTGGGAGTAAATTTCTGGGCGCATTATAGCAGGGTTACTGGGTCCTCCCTTGTTCTGTTGTTAAGGAAGAACAGAAAAAGTTTCTTCTTTTCTAACGCATAGCCATTGTTTTCCATCCTTGGCGGGAAAGTGCCAGCTGTCCCCTGTAGTTTGAACAGCATGGTCAAAAGGAATCTTGTTCTGAAAACATGAGATGAAAAAAAAAACAAACAAACAAATATGTGTGACTTGCACATATTTTGACACAATTAAGATTACTGGATTCCACTTCTGTTTACTTAGATGAGTTTTTAGAATAACCAAATACCTGCTTGATATTACTGATATCTTGGTTTTATTGCAGGTCTAAAGGTCAACGTTAAATTCAAGTTAAAACTTTTTAACCTAGGTTGATTTGAAATTTCCTTTTTTTCCTAGACCTAACTATTCTTCAGGTATTAGGGCTAGGAGACAGGAAATAGAGAGTCAACCTAGGTTTAAAAAATTTAACCTCAACATGATTTTGACCTGTAACAGATATATTCAGGATTAGTAACCACCACAACTAAATGTCTGACATTAAAGGCCACAACTAATGTACCATGGCGATGGTGGTGCCATGAACCTATATAGTATAAGCTTTGTGACAGCTTGAATGTCTCAGTGAATTACATATTACCTAACTTGGAATGAAAACTTTTAGTACTGTATATTTTTTTGAAAAAGATGGTCGGCTTTTGTCAAAATCAAACAGTAAACAATTAGTACATACAAAAAATACTGGGTTGTCGCCTATGAACCTCTCAGGAACCATTTGGTGAAGTCTTTGCCATCTCCTAAATTGAATTTTCATCCACAGATCCATTCTACTTATGTGATTGCCAAACATGTCACGGGACACCAGAAGAGTTCCTGGTCCACAGTGGACGGCTGCACTCAGAAAGTACACATCATCTATTGAACTGGAAAAACAAATGAATCATGAATCACATTCCCTCACAATTATTATTAGTTCATTGCTAATGAACATAACAAATTCATTGGCTAGCTTGTAACATGTAAACCAATAAAGTTCCTTTTGTTCTCATAATAGCAGCCAAATAAACCAAAAAGAGCTTCCTTATATATACTTCATTAACAAATTTTAACTCTTCCCCTCTCTTACAACAGGATCACCTTTCCATGGAGTTTCCAAACTTGACATACAACCTCAGGATCACAGTGTTTTCTTGTTATTTCATGATTTATCTTTGCATCTTGTCGAGGAGTACAGGCCAGAAAAAATACAACATCGTAGCACCCCCACCACACAAAAGGTTTGATAACAGATTCAGATAGCCAAATACCCATAGATTATTTGACATTGGGATCTACAAATTGTAGGGGCCAGTGACTTGGTCTGTTCGATCTTCTTTAAAAAGGGGCATTTCTTACAAAAAAAACATCTTAGCAACCGTTGCATGGAAACAAAATGTTATAAAATGAATAAAGTGAACAATGAACAATCTTTAGTCTTGGTTGGCTAAATACTAACCCTTGGGCCTAGGTTATGGTAAAAATTACCACCTGATTTAACATCAGCAAAAACTGTGAACATCTTTAAAAGCAGAATTCTTAAAAATAATATAAGCTCAATGATAGGTGATGGATGTAAGAGCCATCCTCTCTGCACATCATGACCATTTAATTTTACAATTCTCTCTCGGTTATTTTAGATTATCATAGAGTATAATATATTATGTGTAGTTTACATTTTTTTACTTTTATATTGTATAGGTTATTCCAATTAATTAATTATAAAATAATTTGTGTCCTCAAATTGGTATGGGGTTGTTCCCAAGCTATAGATGGTTTTCCAGTGACGTTATCAAATTGTAAAGTCAAAACCACGAAGTTTTACGAATTCTTATTTACACTAGCTTGAAGATGAACAAAAAATAAATCTTTGTACAAGTTTCCATTCCCATGGCACATTTCATTGCAAAAATAAAACAATTTGAACTTCCGAGTCTTTACAGTGTGTGACACCAAAATAGGAATGCTGTCTCGTTGAAAAAAGTCTCTTCTCTTGATTTTCAGCAGTATAACTATTTCAAGTATCACCAGAAGATATGTTTATGCGCACGTATGCTAGTTCTCGAGTGAAAAGAAAGAGCTTTTATAGAAAAAGTGGACTCCAGATGTTTTTGTAGATTTCTGGCAGCCATATTGGTGGACCAAAATGGTACACCAATATGGCTTATCCATACAAAGCTCTACGAAGGTGCATGAAACGTTTTGGCAAATAACTCAGAAACTGTGGGCCACAAAGACTTGAAACTTGGACAAATAGTTTACATTTTGGTGTTTTATAACATTTCGTTTTCTTGGCTTCTTCCACTGTACTGTTTCCAATTTATATTTTAGTTAGAAAAATTGTTTGAAGACCATTTTGTCCTCTCATCATCAAGGCATACATGCAGAGATGAAAGTCATGTTTACTGTGTTGTAACAGCTACTAGCTAATCACCTGTATATGCTCTTGGGTGATTTGGGCCCCTTCACCAGGCTGACTACAGGCTCAAGTTATATTCCTCATTAAATTAAGATGTGATAAAGACACAATTTCCCACACAGGAACCAAAAGGTCATTTTTATGGAAGAAAAAAAAAATCCTGAATTACCTTTCTTTTAGACAAAATACCCCACAGTGTTCATGAGCACACAGTAAACTGATCAGGCCTTCTAAGGGTATTTGTCCAACATCTGTTTTTCTTCTGTTTTGGAAATCCATTCTTATTGGACTAGAACCTACCACCAAAACTCGCTTGTTTTGCCTTAAGAAATGTAATACTACATTTTCCACCTATAAATACAGAAATATGAAATCCTAATTTGCATATTTTGTTATAACACTTGTAATTGCCACTTGCTAGCTACGGCCCTGATGTAGAAGCGACTTGAGTTACATGTGTTATAACCATGAACCTGCCTGTACATGTTGAAGTTAATAATTATTTTTTTTATTTCAGTTAATTTTTATTTTTCCATTTTATAGGGGTATGGTAATGTACACTAATGAATTTAAAACACAGAAAAAACAAAATTTAATTAAACTAATAAATTAACTGCAACATACACAGAAAGATATTAGAAAATATGGGGGAAGTTAGTTGTTATTTTTGTGAGTTTGTTCAGCTAAAGAATGAAGACAGTTTGCCCTTAGAGCTGTGTTTCATCAAGTAATAAAAATATGATATAGTCCCGAGAGGATATGTGCTACTGGTAAGAAACATGGTAAACTGACTAACGTTGTACATGAGATTGTTGAAAAGCTGTTTGTAATATTGTCAATGAAATTGAGAACAAATTATGCGAATGCTTTCTGAACCTATCAAAACAATACATGGTATGTGTGCATAATTTATGAGAGGACAAAACAACGTCCATTAAGAACATCACATGGTCTGAATTAGGAAACAAAACATACAAGCTGAAAGGGTCTAATTCCCATTATTAAGTCAGACTTTTTCACAAGTTACTGGTAAAATGTGAAAGCAGAGGGCCAAGTGCAAAACAAACATGGGGAAAACACGACACTGAGTGAAGCAAGAAATTTTGCAAAATTATTCATCTTCCTAGGATCAAAGAACCCAGATGTGAAATACCCAATATTGAGTCCATCTATAATAACATCGTATGGTCCACTGGCCTGCATAAATTGTTCAATACTCTGAGGAAATTTATTCCTTTTTCCTGGTTGAACATTATCAACATAAACTCCAGAAGAAGTAAAACACTTAACAGGAGGAAGAGCCTTGAGGTTGTGATACTCCCACAAGAGGTCAGCAAGTGGTTGTTTCAAATCTTCCAGTTCTGCCACAGAAAACTGACCTGTGTCAAGGCTTTGTTTGCAGGCTTTGCAGTGATTTCTGGTGAAGAAAAGATACAGTCATTTGATTTTACAGCAGCATGTTATGAGCCCTGGAGGGATTTCTCCAAGTGAATAATCACTAAAAATAACAATGGACTACACAAGGATACCCTGCCTTTTAAGACGTGAACTGAGGTAGAGTTAGGGATTCCATGCGTTAAGACATAGACAAGGTAAACTGCGAGCAGTCTCTTATTTTTCTTTGCAAAGTTACTGCACGCGAAACCCAAGCACATGAGCCTCTATAAATGAGGGAGTAATCCCGAGAAGAAAAAATAGGAGACTGCTGACTATTTTGTTATGTCTAAACCTGAGTAACTTGAAACGATTTATAAATAGAACATAAACAACTGAAAAATCACACTTTCTTTAAATCTGGTAACGTGGCCTTGTATTCCTTTCCTTAAGGAAATTTACAGGAGTTTCCTTCAGTAAAATATCTTTAAACATTTTAGTTTACAAGCAATTACCCCTTGGTTTGTTGTTGTTTGTAGTCAGTTGTGATGCATGACTATTTTTATCGCTTGCAATCTCACCACAGACCAGACAATGATCTGTAAACAGCTGTAAAATTGACCAATCAGTTACTCCATTTCTGGGCTGATGGATAGTTTACTACAAAAGAGTCTGCAGTCCATCTTTTCTTGTCTCGTCCGAATCCCTTACTGTAAAGTAACGTCATGATTTGCAATTGTGTTGGCTGAGATGAGAACTAGACAGATTTTAAGAGAAAAGGCAGGCGGCAAGCAGACTATAGAAAAGGCAAAGGATTAAGAATGTATAATTTAAGAAAGGTCTTTCAAAGTATCGTAAACAGATGCATCTAACAGCTGATCCACTTTAAGAATTTTACAAGGGTACTCAACATATAAGTGTAAAAAAAAGGAATGCAGTGTATTTACTCCAGATAGAATATGGGGAAACCATTTCCTATGGAATATAAATGAAATGGTACCTTTTTGGTCAAGTTAAAGGGCATGTTCTTTCGAGGTCAGTGCAGAGCATTCCTTTACAGACTAGGGTTGTACATGTATGTACACCCTGGGAATTTTTACATTTACATCTAGATTTTGATTACAATGGGTTAGTCATGATGTGCATGGTAGGGTTTTTATAAGTAAACTTTATTTAAACTTTATTTAGTTTCTCCCCAGGGGAATGCAGGGAAGGTGAATACCTGGAGGATAAACTCCTTATCTCATACCCTCAGATATTGACTTCCAATGTCTGCTAGGGATAATTGGCTGGATGATTACAACAGATTATCTTTATTACCAGCCAATGACTTAATGTTCACACTCTCAGCTCATGTTGCACTGCTACAAGACACAATTTTGATGATTTTACTTACGTGACTGAAAGACTTGACCATGAAGTCTTCCATATGGGTAACATTTGCCTGAAAAAGAGAAAATGACAGACACACTCTTTTTGGAGTTAATGATCAGGAGAATAAGAATTCACAGACTCTTCTAATGATCATTTTGCTCCTAACCCTGACTCAGGGTTCGTACAGATTTTTGGATCCAAAATCCAAGACTTTTTCCAGACTTTTTCCAAAACAATTTACTCTCAAACTCGAGGTTATCAAATAGGTGATCAAACGAGACCTTAAAAAATGCAGGAAAAAAGCTTTTTTCATGATGTGCTGCCAATAAATGGGCAAGATTGAATAGGATTTGACCAAAATGAATATTTAAAAGACACTTCTAAAGCACTTGTTGTAGCTCTGAAGAAAAAAATCAAGACTTTTTACCATTTTTCCAGACTTTATCTCCATTTTCCAGACTTTTTTCCAGGTCTGGAAAATTGCTGGGCAAATTTCAAGACTTTTTCAAGAATTCAAGACTCAGTAAGAACCCTGCTGACTGTAATCAAGATATCATGTAGTTTTAACTTTAGGCAAAACCTTATGGTGCAACCATATTCAACTGTAATTTCTTTGACAGGAAACTCCAGTCCATGGTAACAATAACTATTGCTAATTTTAGGGTTAGGAGACAAGGGAAATTGGGAATCAACCTAAGTTAAAAAATTTTAACCTGACTTTAATTTTGACCTGTAACATGTATATGTTGTAATTAATTTTTTATCCCAGGTAATTTCTGTTTTTCTTTTGTTTCTGGGTGTGGTAATGTATGCTAATGAAGTTGAAACAAAAGAAAAAAAATTACCTGAGATAAAAAATTAACTACAATGTATACATTATTGCAGGCGAGCAAAGTGCGAGCCTGCAGATGTATTCTTGGTGGGGGAGGTCAGCAGCACTATATAAACTGTATAGCGTGGTTTTTCCAAAATCTGTCCACGTTCTTGGGATGCTTTGTTCTGCGTACTAATGTCATGTAATATGTACGGTATGAGGATGTGAAGGCCTTGGTTTTGAATCTAAGGTCCATCTGATGTTGCAGTAATCATGTCAATCTGGAATATTCGCACCATACATTTTTCTTGTTCATGCACTAACTAAACTTTAAGTGACTGAAATTGTTGTGCAATCTAACTGCTTAAGCTCACATCGAAATGACTCATTTTGAAACTAACAGTGTCTAAAATGAAATGAAATGACCCACACTGGAGAACTACCCATCTACATAGATCCCACCTTACCTGTCAAACCATATTTTAATTGTCTCAAGGGTGTCATTACTTAACAAATCTCGATACTTCATGAAGTCGTGGAATGCTTCCAATACTTGATTTGTCAAATGCCTGTCATGTCTTTCAATGCAAGCGCGAATAAGTGTTGTGTAAATGTCAGTATCTCTCTCATGGATAGCCGCAGACTGCATATCCTTGACAAAATTAAACGCATCAATGAGATCTCCTTTTCTGACAGCCGCCTCTACAAAAGGAGCATAGTGGCGTGCTCTGGGTGTTAAAGAAGCCTTTGTCATCTGGTCGAAAAATTCCTTAGCATTTACAAGCCGTCCAGACTTGGAATACAAGACTGCAAGAGTGGAGTACGTTGAATGATTTCTGGGAATTCCATGTTTTTCCATCAGATTATTAAGTTCAAGTGCTTCCTCGATCTTATCGTAATGAGAAAACCAGTACAAGGCAGAGTTAACAGAATTTGTTCGATATTTGACGGGAAGTTCAAGGAGTTGATTGAATAGCTTGGAAACTTCTTCAGGATTTCCTGTCTCACACAACGTCCGAATGTCATCATTTCGCAGTCGCTTGTTCTTATGTTTTACAGATGATACTACAGAAGAAGAGTTGAGCCACCTCTTCCTCTGTAACACAGAACGCTTAAACTCAGTGGCTACTTTCAGATGTTCGCAATAAGTCCGATGTCGAAGTGATCCAGCAAACCTTCCCGCCATGTTTACCATTGTGAAGTCTTCATATAATAAGCACAAAGTGTCTTCTATCGACAATGGACAACTCGTTAAATAAAGTGCTTAGCAGGGTGCTTAGTTTAATTTTAGATGAGACGTTTCAAACATTTCGGGAATGGCCACTTTATCGTGGGCAGTCGCAGGGTGTTTTTATATCTCTACCCAAAGTAGACTAAAGTGTTTTAATACCTGTCATCTACATCTCAACCACATTTCGTGCCCATTATATGACAAGTTCATCTGTAAAGGTGGATGGGAAGATGGGAACTGGAGCGAGCAAATATGGCGGTGAGAGTGGTGAGTTTTCTTCGTTGCAGACTATGTTTAACAAAACTATCGAACGGAAGGGCAACCAACGTAAGATACTGCACCGCGTTAGGAGTAAGGTGGTGTTCTACGTCTTTACAACCACAGGAAAAGCTTGAAGAAACAAAAAAATTCAGTGGCGACATTCACAAACGTTTGCACGTGGACGACATCCGAAGGCTTTGCCAGCAGACGGATATGAAACGTACCAATGTTTTGCAACTTTTTAATCAATTCTTACAACTTCCCGAGCAGTATCGGACAGAATTTGTTAACTCTGCGTTATACTGGTTTTCTTATTACGGCAAGGTCAACGAAGCTCATGAACTTAAAACTCTAATGGAAAACAATGGAATTCCGAAGAATTCATCAACTTACTCTTCTCTTGCAGTCTTGTATTCTAAGTCCAGTGATTTTGGAGACATTAAGAGCCTTATTGAAGAGATGAGAAAAGATGGTCTGATGCCAAAATCTCGACACTTTGTTCCGTTCTTTAAGGCAGCTGTCTCTAAAGGTGACCTGACATCTGCGTTTCATTCTTTAAATGAAATGCAACAAACTACCGCTCACAGTGAACGAAACACTGATAAATATACTGCAATTATTCGCGCTTGTACAGGGTATAAAGATGACAATGTAGTGAGCAAAGTATTTGCAATGTTCTTTGAGTTTCAAAAGTATCGAGACTTGATGAGCAGTGACACCCTTGAGGCAGTTAAGCTGTGGTTTGACAGGTAAGGTTAACCATCTGGCCAGCAAAATGGCAGTGACATGTAAGCTAGTCATATGCACTCATGAACTATACAGATGTAACTTAAACTAAGGGCTGGTTAATAGACATTGGAGGTTATAATGTGTTAATCACTTATTTATGACTTGAAGATTCACGAACGTTTCATTGGTTTGCAGGCAAGAAAAACCCAAATGGGTAACTTCCTGGTCAACTGCATCCACAACGTAAGTGAAAATATCATCTTCAACATTATGTAGCCTATGTGTACTTATCTACTTTTTTGTGCCTTGGAACAACAACAACAAAACTTTATTAATGAAAAAAATAACATTGCAGAAGTTTTGCCCGCAGCTAGCAAGGCTATTTGAGGTGGGAGAATGCGTGCAAAATATAAAAATAAAGACTAAGGCTATTAACTAAGGAAAGTTTACAGTAAATGAAGTAAAAATTGTAACTTGGATGATGACTAGATAACAGACTAAAGAAAAACAGAATTAAACAAATAAATTAAACAAAGAAATTGGAAGGAGGGGTGGCAAGGGTTACTCAAGTATTAAGGTGTCAAGGAGAACCAGGCCCAATAATGTCACACCTAAAAAGGGTCTCTAGAGTAGGTGCACTATGGCCATATTGGAGGAGGAAAACAATAAAACGGTTTTCCTTTGGTAAAAAATGTCATTTTCCTGCAAATATTTTTTTATTGTTTATTCCTCCAACTTGGCGACCCTGTGTGGGCTCTATTACGCCAAAACCGGACCCCAACTTGACCCAAGAAAAAACGTTGTCTGTCTCCATAAAAATCAGTTGAAAAATATCAAGAGACTTGCAGTTAGTTTTGCAATCTTGTTTTGGCTTTCAGTTGTTTCGCATAAAAATGAGAACCCTGGGGTTTGCTTTTTGTCGGTCCTGCTTAGTCTGCGGTGAGTTCTTTTGCTGAAGAAAAGTTGCTGCAAAATTCTAATGAACTAGGTGTAAGAAATCTGTATAACCAGATGACCAAGATTTATTCCTCCTACCAGTGATCAGTTTAAGGACGGCAAACAATACCTTGTTTAGACCAAACATCTCCTGGTTTTGTACTGTTTTCTAACCCCTGGCCAGTAATCACTGATTTGGGGTAACAAGAAAAAAACTCCCTTTGCTCAAAATGTTGTTGATTACTCCAGTATGTTAATTTTTCATACAGTGTCTCAATTTTATTGTTAAACATGTAGTAAAGTGTTGCTGTCAAAATGTCAATTAGCATGTCATTTTTGTTTTTCATTACCTTTGTGGGACTGGAGCTCAGTCAGGGGAAAAAACTCAGTAAATGCACATGCAAAATGATGAGTTTAAAACCCGACAACATGGCAAATTTATACTGATGCTAAATGCAGAGTGTATAGCGAGGGAAAGAAATCATGTATCTCCTTAGGTTAACTGCTGTATTTATCATTCCCACTTGAATCTACAGATGATACAATGGTAGTTCTTTATTTGTCATATTGCTGAGTTTTGTTTCTACTGCACACAATTTAAATGTGTAATTTGTAAATTTTTTTCTTTTTAAACTTTCCCCCTCACTGTATTTTCTGAATTAAACGCTGGACCCTGATTAAATGCCGGCCTCGAAAACACACCAGGTCAAAACTGCTGAGTTTTAAATGAATGCCGGTGTGCGTTTGATCAAGGTCCCAGTGTTTATTTGTGGTTGAGGTCCAAGGACCAGTTACAAGTAAATATAACCTCTTGAACAGTACTTTTATAACATACCAAGTACATTATGCTGTTTTGGTATTTCAATAGACATTCAAAGAAAAAACCATTTACTTGCTCCTACGTTGTTCATTTCTCTTTTTTAATCAGTGTCATAACCAAAGAGTTTTGCTTTTTTCTCGGAAAAGTATTTTATATAAGCAACAGAAAACTTTTTTCCTGTGTTTACATATCCTAATATAAACGCTTGAGAGGTTGGGAGAATTGTCGACAGTTGTGCAAACCCTCGACTTCGTCTCGGACTGTCTCAAATTCTCCTAGCCCCTCTTATGTTTATATCAGGCTATGCAAACACAGAAAACGTTTTCTATTGCTTACTGCGCTTTTAACAAACATGCGAACTCTAAAGTTCAAAGCCGCCTTCACAATTGCATTTTTCGCTGCCGTCAATCATAATTACGATCACAAACAACGAACCTTGAAACAGAGAAACACACAAAACGTGTCGAAATCCACCAATCACAAATCACAAACCTTGACCTTTTGAACCCATTAAAGTAAAGTTTTGTTTCCTAAGAGGTCCGTTAAGATGATTGACGGCAGGGAAAAACGTAAACGTCAGCTGGCTTTTGAACTTCAGAATTCGCATGTTTGTGAAAAGCGCAGTAAGTAATACATGTAGATTGTGCATAGTTTAAATATTTTTACTTTTATATTGTATAGGTAATTGGGTTTTTCCCAAGCTATATGGCTCTGACACATTAATTGATTTTATTTACTGTGTTCTATTCTATGTATTGTTTCTTTTTTCATTTTGTTAGGGATTCAAATCTTGATTGCAACATCGTACACGTACCTTATGTATAGTACCATAATACTGTTACTTTGGGTAATGGGTACGCACGGTTATCATCTTTGGAGGTCCAGGAGACCCAGGGGTAGGACGAATGGAAAAAGCGTTGCCCTGACAAACTGCTCCTGGGTCTCTAAGGATCAGTAATAATAAATCAACCTGAAAAAATGACAGAAAACTGCATTTCATTAATAAGCACTGGACCCTGATTAAATGCCTTCCTAAAAAAAATGCCGGGTCAAAACTGCTAATTTTTAAATAGACGTCGGGGGCATTTAGTTAAAAAAATACGCTGCTTTCTAAATTTTCTTTGTTCTTTGTTTTACTCATACGTCAGTGATTTTCAAATGTTATAGGCTAGTCATTTTGCTACTGCACTTACTACTGTAACTTGAGTTGTTTATGTAAAGTGAAGGTCCCCATAAAAGTAATGTAAGCTGTATTTTTCTAAACCCAGATTTCACTGTCAAGTCTGCAAACAGAAGCTGGAAACTGGTGAATTTTCTGAAGCAGAATTGGAAGAGTTAAAGCACCCCCTTGCCAAACATCTGTGGAAAAAACACAAAGCTGTTAAGCAAATAAAGTGCTTTACTTCAGCTGGAAACTACATTGATTATGTCCGACCAGAACAACTGAACAAGGCCCCTCAAAGTGTAGAGTTGTTTATCAAAACCACAGGACCGTATGATGTTGTCATAGATGGACTGAATGTTGCATACTTCACAGGATTTTTTGATCCTAGAAAGGTACATGCACATGTAACCACCAGGCATGGTTATTTTTAGACATTATGTAGAGCACCACAGACTCAATAATTTTTGGACTTGTTGTCGTGACCTTCCAGGATTTTTCTTGTATCAGACCAGGGGCTATAAAAAGCATTGGTCTCGACTAAATAAAAGTTTAATTTTTGTGCAATAAAGTCGAATTACTCGCATCAAAGTAGTCTTTGGCCTTGCCTAGTCAATGTTTGCCATATACCGTATTTCTTGTAGAAAAGCCTGGAAATAGGCTTTTTATGTTTCATGTTTCATTGAATTCGTTTTTAAAAGTTTTAGTAACTGAGCATTGGGAGGGTGAACAGAGTGTATTATGGGGAAAAGGAAAATAATCAATAGTATTACATGTACTACAAACTGGTACAGGCTTACTTGCTGCAAGTATTGGTGAATAACTTTCTGTGAGATATTTTCACAAACAAAATGCTTTTCTCCATTATAGGTAGAAAACACAGTGTTGCATTTTGTGAATCAAAAGAAGCGAGTTTTGGTTGTGAGCTCTAGTCCAATGACTCTAAAGGCCAAAACAAAGAAAGGCGCTCAAACAGCCCTGGGATCTCTGATGAGTTTTTTGAGTAATCATGAGCAGTGTGGTGTATTTTGTTTGGCGGAAAGGTAATTAGTTGTTTGTGTCATGATCAGCTACTAGTAACTGCTTTGGGTAATGATAAAAAGGGCAACATTTTCAGGAAGTGGAACAAGAACAATAGAGATCAATATGGAGTTTTAGTCTCTGGGTAACTCAGCCCATTTCTCTGGTATAATGTACCTGCACTTAACTTACTTGTATACTGGTCAAAGTAAAAAATATTCAGTCTCAATTTCTATTCACCTGAGACCACCCACCCCCACCCCTCCCCCCACTTCAGACTGAAAGTATAGTTATACCTCATAACTATCAAGGATATATTCATTCACGTTAGGGGGCATTCATAAACGAGGCCTACAGAAGTCCATGAAGATCAGCTGAAAAAGTACGATTTGAAAGGCGTTCAAACTTTTTGACGCTTAATATCAATTTCCTTTTTTGACGGTTGACAGGAAAAACTAACCTGTTTCAACAGCTGACGGTTAACACCATCGAGCCCCTCTTCTCGGAGAGTAGAAAAATGCTATAACTTCTAAATTGAAACAATTATTTCAACAGTTCGGGGTCATGAAGCGATTTTGTCACTTGTGTTTTCGGTCTTTTTGGAACACTGTATTTTGTTCTTAGAACCTGTTGATGTCATCTGTGATCTGTAACTGAACAGACACGTAAGCAATATGTACAAACTATTTGTATACTGAGTTTAACATTGAAGTTTGCTTGCCTTTTATTTCAGCTCAATGGATGACTTATATTTTCTGAGCGCTGCAATGCATTGTGGTGCAGGAACACAGCTTGTGTCATGTGACCGGTTTTATGATCACATCAGTGGAATGGACCCACTGATGAAAGTTCAGTTCAGAAGATGGCAAAATTTGTATCAAATGGAGCTGGACAGATTTGTTGGGAATGATCCAGTGTTTGCCGTATGTATTGTTTTTGTTGATGTTTTCCATTAGTTTTAACGTTTGGGATTGTGGTTGCGCTCATTCCAATGAATCCTCTTTTGCCGTCCTTTTCACCGTACTAAAAGTTGCTATTTCCTTCTAGTTTTGAACGTTAGGTGTGTTCTCTTTTTAAAAATTTTTGTTTTCGCATTGCTGTTAGGTGCTTTCATTCCGCCTTTTCTCTTAAAATCCATCTAGTTTTTTTCTTAGCCAGCGCGATAGGGACTTTACGATCCGACAACGCGACGGCAGCGAAAACGTCACTTCAAAAAATGAATTTGCGTTCTTTCGGTCTTTATCGCGATTATTCCAACTCGCCTACTTTGTCAAATGTAGGCGAACCCTCCCGGAGCTGAATTTCAAAGAACCATATCCAAGTTTAGAAACAGAATAAAGTTTTGTCGTTGCTTATTTACGTCCTCCCTAAAAAGTAAAATTAGGCGATTTTCATGTAGTCGTGCAAAAACGGCAAAGAAATGTACAAAAAAGTGAGATGCACGTGCAAAGTTGTTGTTTTTTCTCGTTGCCGTCGCGTCGTCGGATCGTAAAGTCCTTAGTAAGCGATTGGGACGCGGCTCGCGAGCTTGGGACTTTCGCGTGCAGTAACTTTGCAAAGAAAAACATTTTTTGTAACAGAATGCTCGCAGTTTACATTGCTGTCGCCTGGAAACGTTTGCTACGCAGGCTAATTGAAAGGCTAGCTAGAAAATAGCCTCTCCGGCTTTGTTTTTTTTAATGCTCTATCTCCTTGTTGATCACATTTTTTCTGGCCTAGGGTCCTCCTCTGCCTTCAGTCAAAGATAGCGGCTAAACACAATATAAAATACTAAGCGCTTCCTACACTGTATACTTGATAGAAGATTGCGGCAGAAACATCGAAACTACTGCTTAGCGTTGTGCCGTTTGAATAATTTGCTGGTTAGTTATATATATAAAAAATTGAATGTACGTTTAATTCTGTTTTCTTGTTTTGGTCGTATCATGTTGTTGCAGCTTACTTTTGGAGTTGTTTTTAAAGGAAGCTACGTTTTGTTGTTCTCAGACTAAGAAGCCGTTTGACTACGCTGTTCAAACCACTGGGGACACTTGGCACTTCCCAGCGAAGGACGAAAATCGTTGGTTATGTGTCCGAAAAGCAGAAAATTAATCTAATACCTGCACTGACACAGTATAGCACGTCTGGTTATAAACGATCTACTTTGATTTGGCTCAGGAAAGAATTACTTGCAGGCTTATTTCGCCCACTGCCTGACTCTGTTGCCATATCAATGGTTATTCCGCTTTTCATACCTACCATGACGTCCTCAATGAAGACGTACCCTCGATATCAAAACCAAATCTAGCGGTGGAGCGCCAGATTTCGCTGGTGACTGGCAGAGAATTCTTTAGTTGTTCAGACGCGAAGCGATCACAAAAACGCGTCCTGTGCAGTCAACTGAAAACCGATCGAAAATTACTCAGAACATTTTTAAAGGATGGATACGAATGAGGCATATGTGCATTTTTGAATAAATGATCCGCAGAAAAAAGCATTTGTTTGTCTTGAAGCGACTTGGGTTTTCCTTACCTTTCTACCCAAGTTATCCAGGATGAGTAAATAAGTCTTTTAAGTTGATGTGAAGTGTCTCTACACTGTAATTAGGTATTGTCGACCGCGTGAGGTCAAAACTTTGCAGCAGGTTTTGAAGTGAAATCGTCAAGACTTCTCTCTCGAATTTTGGCGTTACTGACAAAATAGATTCGAAGAAAAGCCTGAAATAATGGTTCAGTTTTATACAACATTACTTCTTTACTATACTTAATGCAGGAGCGTTTGTCTGTGGCTTTCGATTGCCGGGATTCAAACGGATTTCAACTTAAAAAATGGGCTCACTTTTTCAAGTCAAACTCCTTGAATGACAATACAATACAGTAGAATTAAAATATATCAACAAACTACGGGTAAATGGTCATTTCAAGCCTGACACACTTTTTAAAAACCTCATCAGAGGAAGAGTTTCTAGTTTCATTGGAGATACTAAAGCAGAATGTACGCTGTGTGGTAGAACACAGTGAAACTCTACCCAGTGGTTTAACTCAGTCTACCCAGTGGTAATTTAGGCTCCCCGATACCTGGCGAGAGTTTGTTTCTACCCGGATAATTTTCTGCTTCCCCAGTCACTTTCTTCACGATCGTGACTTCTACAAAACCAATGTATTTCGTTATTCATACTTGTTTAAAACAAGCAAAAAATATTAAACATTTTTACCACTGAGAAAAAAAAAATAAGAAGGAACAGCAATCTTAGGAAAAAATCAAGCACAGCTTGCCAGAGAGCATTTAAATATTTTTATTACTCTTGGCGTAAGTACCTTAAATACCTCTAAACGGGTTCGTATTTCAAGTTTGGAGGCCTGGTCACCAATAATGCACTCGACCGAACAATAGCTTGGGCTGCCTGTACATTCAGCCTTCACACAGTGTTATGAGCAAAGAATTTTACTTTCAAATAAAGTAAACATTTCAAAGTTAGAATTTGTTTATGTCATTATAACTGGTGGTGGTTGTGTTTGTAAAACGCCACCTGTTAACCGCAAACGTTTTTAAGTGTAATAATGGGTCTACCCGTCACCGGTTAACAAAGCCTACACGAATGAAAGCAACATTGAATTATATTCCGATTTTTTTATCTGCAAGCCTAACAGTAAAACACTGGGTGTGTCAATTCTGAGGAAATTAAAAGTATTTTTGCTTAATGTCATATACTTTTATTAATGTTTACTCAAACGATTAGACTACGTTTTGGCTAGGGGAGAATCGTACAAGCACCAGAGTTCATCATCCATACAAAAATATTTTTCTTAAACTTACTGAAGATTATATAATTTTTTAGGTGTCTTTTAACTGTTTTAGAGCACGTCTTACAGCATGCTAATTCTTCCTTCCTCCGCAAGACGTATAAAGAACGAATTTATTAATAGCACTTGCGTACTTGTTTGACGTTCGCATAAATAATTTAAACGCAACTACTGGCCCCAACCACCGCTTAAGTAGAAACATATTTAGATTAAATTACTCAGCAAGAAAGATTATTATTCACAGAGAGAGAAATGGCTTTTTGCTAAGATTTTTTCAAATTTTCCCGTTTGTTTTCTTGGATTGAGTAAGCTAGAAGTCTCATCATCAGGCACTGAAGACATACTTCACATCATTATTCATTTCCATGACTACTATATGAGAGTACTTGTATTTTAAGTTGAAGTGTTGGATTATATTTGCTTCAGTTAAAATAGCGTGTTCTGGTAGAATCATGAGGCGCTGGAAAACCTGGGAAAGTTTATCTGTTGAGGATTATTTCGACGAAATTACGCAACCGACTCGCTGGAACTCATTTGAAACTCTGGACAAGATGTCATTAAATGACGGTGGATTAAAGCTGGCACAGAAATCCGCAAGTAACCAAAGTGTTATAAGCGACCCGTCTGCGCTATGTTCTGTTTGCAAGCAACCCTTTCATCGGCCTAGGTTTCTGCGATGTCTTCACAGCTTTTGCAAGAGCTGCATCGAAAGTCTTGCTGGAAAAACAAGTGGAGAAGCCGAAGGAACCGTTGTCTGCCCTATATGCTCATTCCCGAGTGAACTTGGAAGTAAAGGAATTGAAGAACTGCCTGTGAACTTTCTTATACTCAAAAATCCGAGTTACGTGGTAGAGGAAAGAAAAAGTCCCATCAAGTGTGGAAATTGTGAAGATAACTCCGAGGCTACCGGCCAATGCAGTGAATGCAAGGAATATTTGTGTGACAAGTGCACAGCTGCTCATAGAAGAGTGCGTGTTACGAGAGACCATCAGATAATTCCTCTGAGTGAGTTAGCGAAAGAAAATGACGATAATAACAATGTTTGGAACCCCGATAACTGCTCGGAGCACAACCGTGAAGAAGTGACGTACTTCTGCTCAACATGCAACAAACCTATTTGTCGAGAATGCACTGTTGTGAGTCATCCAAAAACAACTCACTCATTCGAACCACTTAAAGATGCATCGAACAAGCACAGGCAAGAAATAACTGCGCTCTTGGATACGATTAAACTAAGGACTCCTTTTGTAAAAAGAGCTTTGCTAGAGATCGAGGAAGCATGTGAAGATATACCTCAACACACAATTGCAATGGAAGAGCAAATTCGAAGTTCAACAGCACGCTATATAAGAGCGTTGAAACAGCGTGAGGAACAGTTGTTGGACGATCTGGGAGCCATGAGAGAATATAAAGCCACATTGCTGGAACAGCAAAAGGAACGTTTATACAAAGGATTTAGGGATATTGAGAGCAACTGTGGTTTGGTGGAAAAGTTACTTCAAGAAGGAAACGCAGCTGAAGTCGCCAGGGTAAAAGACTTTATGACAGGACGACTTCGAGGTTTAACAAGCATGATTCAAGACATGTCACCATCCGAGGGACCTGAATTTGATTACGTCACTGAGGAGGACCTACTGTTTGACGTCATCAGCCGAGGTGGAAAGCTGGAGAGCCGCACCAGGGCTCCCGCTGTGCGCCTTATCGGGGAGGGACTGTATAACGCTGCAGTAGGCAAGACCTCAAGTTTTGTTTTAGCTGTGCGAGAAGATGCTTCGATAAACAAAGCAAACTTGGATGTTCGGATTGAAACTCCCGATCTGGTTATTCTCACTTGTGTCATTAATGAACACAGCTCAAAGATTTTCACGCTCAGTTACACGCCTAGAATTCATGGTGAACACGTGATTACCGTCCTGGTGAATGAAGAACACGTAGAAGAAAGCCCTTACACAGTGAATGTAAAGAAAGGTCACATGTGCTTTGCTACTAAGTCGCTCCCAGTTTGCTTACGCTTTGGTTACAGAGGCAAAGGACGGGGCGAATTCAGAAACCCATCCGATGTTGCCGTGGCCAGTAATGGAGTTATTGCAGTTGCCGACTCACTAAATGATAGAATTGAACTGTTTACAAGCAAAGGAGGATTTATGCGGCAGTTTGGAGGCTCTGGAGATGAAGTTGGCAGGTTTAGCTCGCCAACTGGTCTTTGCTTTTCCCAGAGTGGACAAATAGTCGTCGCTGATCAACAAAACAACCGCGTGCAAGTGTTCAGTTTGGACGGATTGCTTTGTAAAGTAATTCAAAATAATGGGCGAAATGGGGGAAGTTTTAAGAATCCCACGGGTGTTGCTGTGGACGAAGAAGGGCAACTGCTGGTAACAGATCAACAGAATCACAGAGTCGTGATTTTTAACAACCTAGGCGTTTATTGCAACCAGTTTGGGTCCCTGGGAACTAAAGATGGTGAGTTTAACAACCCCTCCTACATTGCCGTCACTCAAGAGGGCGAGATATTTGTCACGGATACCTCAAACCATCGAGTGCAGATTTTTGACTCGATGGGAAAGTTTCAACGAAAATTTGGGAGGCCCGGAACTGGGGATGGGGAGTTTCACTATCCCTCGGGAATAACAGTTGATTCATCCGGGTATATTTTCGTTTCTGATCGCACCAATCGCGTTCAAGTATTCAACTCTCACTTGCGTTTCGTCACCAAGTTTGGCGGGAAAATAAGTGGCGACGGACAGCTAAGCAACCCGCAAGGCATTGACTACACCCCAGAAGGCCGGATTGCTGTGGCCGACACTGGAAATAATTCCGTTAAGGTTTTCTACTTCCCAAACGAGTAACTAAATAGTTTTGAAAGTTTTTTGACCTCTTCTAAGTGGCGTACATCATGAGTGACTAATAGGGTTGAAGAAATGTAAGCTAAGTCCGCCTAGTGAGTTCTTAAATAATTGAAAGGAAAACTCACAGTAACAGGGAACACTGAACTTCAGAACTTCTCGGACGCCTCTCCAATAAAGCTCGACTCTCCGAAGATAAACGAAGACCAAGATTTCGGAGAAAAAGAGCTTTCCAGATAACTCAAAACCCATTTTAGCTACCCGAATCTATTTTAAACGTTTTCCCCAGTTTTACTCTGAGAGTTAAACTTGTTCATTTTACTAACCTGCAAAATAAAATACCTACAGATGATTATTACTTGGTTCAAAGGAACAGTGGTAAAGAGATGATAAAAATGGTTAGAAATTCCAAAGAATTTTGACTACGTCAGGCATAGTTACTGTTTTCATGAAAAATAATTGAATTGATGTGTAACGTACTTTACGTATATGCTCTCAAAGGATAGACGTTTTGTTAAATGCGTAAAAAAAATTATAATTTTGTTTTAAAAAATTCCACTGAATTCAGCAAAACCCTTTTTCATTTAAAAGCCCGAGGTACTAGTTTTTTTTAAAAGCTGTATCCAAATTCATTTAAAGTTGGTGGACTCAATAGGCCGTTTGCACTAAGAGGTCATGTAACATCGTTTTTATTAAAATGAAAGTTATATGATTTTGCCTTCCGTTCGAAAGACGATTAGTGGGTCATATCTTAAACAAAATAATGGTGATTTGGTTTTTCAAACCCGCATCATTTTCTCAAAATGAGTAAGTTCGTAAATGGTCACGTGACCAAAATGTGTTTTTTAAATTTATCAATTACCTCCTTGTGAAAACAAATTTTACACTTAAACGTCAAGAAAAATGTTGAAAAGATGATGTGGTAACGTTTACAACACATCTGAGCGCAACTATCAAACGTTTAACAAGATATAAGCAAAAGCAGTTTTGGCCGTCATGTTGGAGGGCAAGAGTATGCCCTCCAACATGACGGCCAATACAACTTACAATACAACTTTGTTGAAAAATCAAAGCGCCATAAAATATCTCCCTTAAATGCGTTTCCTCTCAATATCGGGTGTTAGATGATTTTTGTCAATTTTTGGCATCAGCAAGGTTCCAACTCGTTGTTTAAAGAAAGCATGGGTCACGTGACCTCTTAGTGCAAGTGGCCTATTATATCGGCTACGAGAATCAGGCTATTAATAATTTCTTATTGCTGTATGCTAGCTACCGACCTGTACACACATTTAGTTGTATATAATTTGATAAGAGTAATTATTGAAAACTGAATCACTGGTTAATGCAATTCTAGAGCTCTGATTGGCTTAGAAATTATACACTTAATGTCAGATCCCGAGGGAAACAGTTTGTTTTGTTTTCCCAAGAGTCCTGAAGTTTCTCTCGACTTCGTCTCGGGAAACATCAGGACTCGAAGGACAACAAAACAAACTGGTTTCCTGAGGGACCTGACATTAAGTGTTTTGTTATACACCTGTATTTATATTTCTAGACTTTCACTTCAGCACCAACAAAAGAATAACCGGAGCGAACCAAAACAATCGACTCGGTACTTATAACAACACAAATTTAATTCTTAAAACCACTGAATGAATGATTTACAAAGTACATCCCTTATATTATCTGCATCTTTTTCCTTTACTAGCTGCTGTTTCTCTTGTGTTGTGTTCGTTCACGAAAAAGAAAACTGGTAGTGTTTTTCCCGCCTTCTGTAACACCACTTTCCACCACGCTTTGATCACGTGCTGTAATGTATCGCGGTCGTGATACATTGCTAAATGTATCACGATCGGGATACATTTGATTTTAGTCAAGGCCACGTGGCCAATAATCAACCAACGGCAGTCCCTTTAAAGTTAAGTGAAAGTCAAGGAATATAACAAAAGCCATTATACCATGCTCTCTAAATATAGTAACTGTACGCGTCTGCTCAAAATTAAAAAAAAAAAACAGCCGAAAATCGGTTGTTTTTTCTTATAATGTTAGGAAGAATTCTCGATATCACTGGGCGTTTTTAACAAAACAATTATTCCACTCACCCCTATTGGAAATTATACAACTATCCCCCTCAGGGTCGGTAAATAGTGGTAGACGCTTCGCGTCTCGGTATATTTACCACTATTCACCGACCCTGAGGGGGAAAGTTGATTAAGTATGTACCAAATCAGTTGGATAAAGAGTAAAAGTAACTTTTTGTAAATAAAAAACGCCACTTAGTAGGAACTTTGTTTACAATTTACAAACATTTCTGGGATTTTGTCAAGTGCATTTTTACAATTTTGTTGATGCTTATGGCCTCCTGTCACAGGCTAGGCTTTTCTTAGACTAAGTATCAAGCTTTTCTTGGCGGATCTTGGAGGTGAGGGAAGAGGTGATTGGAGTCTCCCCTTTTTCGTTTCTCTCTTGTCCTTTTCCCTAGTAACGCCTGGTACTCAGACTAGGCTTCCCTTTGGGCAGAGACGTTAAGGACGAAAGTCAATTCCGTTGGCAAAAAATATACAAGTAAATGAATAAATAAATCTAGGCCGGTCTTATATCCCAGACTACAAATACAGTACCACAAGTGAAGGGTAAAACAATATGTTTTTCGTCTCTCACCTATATTTCGGCCGTGTTAAACGGCCTTCATCAGGCTGAATGGCCGTTACAACCATCACACACCATTATAACATGATAACGAACAAATTTGAAAACTTGCACGCGCTACAAAGAAAGATAAACACGCCCTGAGGCTGAATACAGTTCAACCTATAGGCCCACTGGCCTTCTTTATCCCGGAGAGCTCATTCTTCCCCGGACACTCTGTCAATTAACTGTATACTGACATCCTCAAGATCATGGTGTCCCGGGCCAAAAAAATGTCTATACAAAAGATCATCCAGACTACAAATACATGTATATATCTCACCTCTCGTCGTTTCATGAGTGCCAACCAGTTATCAACTGTGGATTGCTGTGGATCAAGAACACAATCGATAAAACTTGTCACGAGGAGACAATTCAAGTTGTTCCAATCCTAGTTCCAATCTGATTCCAAAGCAGCCTCTGACAATCAACTGCAGAGTCGTTTTAGGACGATCACCTTTCCAATTTAGTTCACGGCTTTTTCTGAACAATTGACGGTTGACTTACCTAATAACGAGGTGAATGAAGCAACGAGAAAAACTAATTCAAAATGAATTGTTATTTTTGTCCAGCGAGGCAAATGAAACAAGCGAATCGCCTATCGAGGCGAGAACGGAATGTAGGTTTTCCTGTTCATTTAAAATACTTAACAAAGACTTTTATTAACGTTATGAAGTAAAAGAATAAATGCAGCAGAAACGTATATTTACCATATGATTCAGTTGAAGATGCTTTAAACTCTTTCATTTCAATATAAATAAGCCCAATGGAAAATTGTTTACTGCTAACAAGAACCCAACCTGATGTTCTTAAGAATAATGACCGAGCGCGTAGTCGAAGGCAGAGGAGAGAGGGCATTTTTTGATTTAATGCATGTACCTTTCCATTGTTTTAGAACCAGCAGGTCATTATTGTGGCAGCTGAAAAGGAACAGTAGATTATTATTCGTAATAGTTAGCTCTTGGTTCACCTCAGTGACTTCAGTGCTCTTCCATTTAACTATTTAGTTAAAACAATAAACTGTTCAAATAAATTGGAAAGGTGCATTAAATTGTAATTAAAATCGTTGATAATTAATCAAAACCTTTGAGGTTTGCATTATTATGTTCTTTGTTTGTGTTCATTTGAGACTAATGCCTTTAAAGAATAAGCACGTTCAGAATTATATAACTGGTCTCTGTCATAGGAATTGTGACCATTTTCATGCAACCAGTTACAGTAACCCGTACTAAGCAATAAGCAATTTGCTCTATTGATATTTTTCGTTAATGAAAATGAATTTTCGTCCATATAAATTCGAGTGGCTGTACTAAAGCGACTCCCGATAACTCAAACCAAAATTTGCCCTAAAATTTCAAAATTTACTGTAATTTTACCATGGATAACTCGAACCTCCCGCTAACTCGAAATAATTTTTGTCTCCCCTCAGATCATTTCTATATATTTTTCCCTCGATATCTCGAACCATGTTTTGAGCGCTAAAGTCGGGCAAAAACAGTGAATTTTGAATGTTCCATAGACGCGTTGCAGGCATATTTTGTTAGTGGAGGCTGATGTTGTTTGTTACAAATCTAACGTGAGACATCTTCACTTCTTCCGCGTGATGCGGCTCTATTTAGGCTGTGATTCATGTTGCATTAAGTTGTGATTTAAAAATCTGGAAGTATTGTTCCGTTTTCACTTGACAGATCTGCTTAAAATGTTCACTGTAGGATGAAAACTGTTTTTTTTCCTTAGTTCAAGGCTATTTGCTTCGAACTCCCGATAACTCGAACTTTTTTCCATTTCGCTTGAAGGTTCGAGTTATCGGAAGTCGACTGTAGTTCAAGTTAGTTTTTTCTAAGGGAAACTAAATTTCTCCGAGTTTCACGGTTGGACTTCGCTTTCGTTGTCATTTTTTTGGTACAAGCTACTTCCAGCTTCACGGCAGCTTCATTACAGTCTGTCCAATAGGTGCGTCTAACTGTTGCTGGCATAATCGTCGCCTTCCATATGTTCCCATTTCTCAGTTCTCTACAGCCTGAGGCCAACATTTTGAATATAGTTTTCTCAATTCCCTTTTGAAAACAGAGTTGCGTGCTCCATACAATATTGGATTACAGGCACTATTTCCATAGCCAAACAACAACGATATCATGTGTACTGTCCGTGGCAACGGCGTTGAGTAGTAGACATCGAAAAACATGGTTACAGCAAAAGGCGCCCAACAAAAAATAAAAAGGGCAACCATCAAAAGAAACGTGTTTGTGATTCTAGTTTCCTCCGTTCCCCTACTTTCAAACAGTTTATTCGGGATTTCCACTTCGGCCTTGCTGCGATCTAAATTAAATCTTTCTTCGCCGTTCTTTTTAGGTTCTACATCAGAGGCAGCAGACCGGTGCTGAAATAGAGGAGGTGTCAAGTTATTCCTTGAAGCTGCGATCTTTCTTCTCGCATTCCTAGTAAACATTAAAATCTTGAAATAAGAAAAGGCTATAACTAAAAGAGGACCGAAAAAGCAAACAGTGATCATGAAATACACAAAGTAGACGTTCGCAGGCCAGTAAACGAAGCAATAGGATTTTTCAGGGATAAAGCGATATTCTCCCCAGCCGAAGAGCGGAGGACAAGCCAGGGATATCGACACAACCCAAACGGCTGCTACGTAAACTGATGCTTTCCTTCTTGAGAAAGTATTGTTGTACGTATTCCACTTTACGATGTGAAAATACCGGTTGATGGCGATCATGGCAAGAGACATGACGGACGCAATGAACGATAAAATTGTGATATAGCCGGACACCACACAAGCAGGGAGTCCAAACACCCAACGCTGTTTGATAATGGTGATCAATGTAGTTGGCATACTGAGAACAGACACCAAGATGTCAGCCGCAGCCAAGTTAAGAATAAACATGTTGGTGACGGTCAAAAGATCTCGTTTCTTGTAAACGATAAGAAATAAACTCACATTACCAATCAAAGCAGATGTAAGTATACAGGACAGGAAAGTGGTCTCGAAGACCGTGCCGGCTACGGACTCACTCAGTGTCATTGTTTAAATCTCAAATACACCGTCGATTTATTAGGTAAGTTTGTGAAATAATACCATTTCGCGTCAAATTTAGCCGCCTTGGATCTCTTTCTTTCTTTAGTGGGCTTAAACCATTAAAAGTGTGCGCAAGTAAGGCGGTGTCTGATGTCGAAGGTTTCGTTTAGACTGGGAAGATACTGAAGATATTTTACTTGTATTTATATTATGCAAACTATCAACTTGGCAGTCGGCTATTATTGAATGTTTAAAGCTGATTATGCCAACACAAGAAATAAATAAGGCACATTAGTGGATTGTTAAATTCGTCTTAAAATGTCTATTGTGTATTGTAAACCTAAAAGAAGAGTTCATTTCCGGGGGCGGGTGACCAAAAGGTTGATGACGCGAGTCTGTTGAGTCGGCAGGTGAATGATATTGCGGCTTAAAGGGAAGGTTCTTTAAAATAAGCATGGTTCGTTGTTTCCTTTGCCGTTTTTAATCTAAGAGCGCTGTTGGACCATAGCACTACATAATCTTCATATTTACTTCTATTTTCATTATAATTTCATGATAATTTAATTTGTAGATTCATCAACTATGCTTTGACTGTTTCAGCTGCTGCTGCTATTGTTGCTGTTGTTGTGTCTCTTAATGCCAAATCTGAATATTAAAACAGTTGAAGACTTATCCCAGGCGGCCTAAACTCTAAAGGAACAGGGAATCGTTTGTATTTGAACTTTATAAGAGAATATCGTTGGGTAAAAAAAAAACATCTTAAAATAAATTGTCCCTTTTAAAAGAGCTTCGGAATAGAATGGACTTGCTTTGAGCAAGAGATCATAATCAGGGCCTGGTCCTATTAATATAGTAACTATAGATTTAGCCAAGGGTAAAAGCGAAGCTCTCGTTAACATACTTATAGTTTATTCAAACAAAAATAATATTGTCTAATGCTAAACGGCGACCGCAAAGAGAACGGCAAAAAAATCAATAGGTCTAAAGAAACCCTTTTGTTGCTAGACAAGTTCGAACGTCGGTGGTAAAAAGTAACAACATCGCTATTCAACTCGTATTGCAGCAATGTTGCAAAGCAATTATTGCCCGTTTTACTGTGGCTTAATATTAGCAAAAAAAAAAAAAAATAACAACCACGACTTTGCATGTGCAGCACATTTTTTTGTACATTGCTTTGCCTTTGTTTTGCAACTACAAGGTGAAATTTCTTAAAATTTCCTAGTTACACGTTTTATGGAGGAAATTACGTATGTATTCCTGTTCCCTATTTTGTCACTGCCGCTCATTTTCACCTCGGTGGCCATTAGCATTTTTCATTTTCTCACCGCCGCGACAAAAATAAATTGTTATGTTCTTTTTTTTTTCAACGAAATTCGCCTCCTTTGTTACCCATCTCAATCTCCGTCCTTTATCGATTTTATATGTCGAGGGTTCATTTTTTAAAATTTGAAACGTTTGGGGATTTTCAAGAGATTTATTTTTGGTGTTCATAGTATACCATGGCTCTTGAGTATACTCATTTTCACAATACTAGTTAATCAGGAAACAAGTCCCGATAAAGCACAATAAATACATCTTATTCGATGGTTTAGCATATAATACGTGCGGATATTTTGCCAGTTGCGTAGTATTTTTTCCTAGCCGAGCAAATAACTGCCTACAAATGATGGTCTGCTCATGCGCAATGCCATCCAACTGTGTTTGGAAGTGTTTGGCTACAAGTAATACTGTGCACATGCGTAAAGGAAACCGTGCTTTTCTCCTTCTTGTGATCGCTCTTGCGTGAAAATGGCAGATAGCTTCGCTTCCCGAGGATATTCATTAAAAAAACAAATTCGGTGATCGAATGATAAAGCAATTATTGAACTCGGTTATCGCAAAATATCGTGATTTGTCAGTGTCTCGCAGATCAATTATTTGCCGAAGCCGAATAATTGATCTGCTCACCACAGACAAATCACGATATTTTGCTCAACCTCGTCCAATAATTGTTAATTATTCCCCCCCCCGCCAAAAATTATTATTTTGCAATTGGCTTCTAAGTTTTCGATAAGAGTATTCAGAAACATCCCGATTTCGTCTGTGAGAATGACGTTAACAATGACCAAAATGTTCGCGCGTATTACACGCCACACTGTTAATTATTTGTCGCTAAAAAAGTCCAAAGGACTCAAACAAGTTAAAATTAGGTTCGTCCGCCGGTTCGTCCAGTTCAGCCATAGTTGCTCCTTTTGCACTCGCCCGTATTCGCCCGGTTGTAAACCGGTTAAACCAGGACACTGCAGTGTATTACGCCCTCGTATTGTGCGCGTTCTCTTGACCTTACCTATATGGTAAAATGGCATAAGTAGTGGAATAATAAACACTGGTAATATCGTAAGTAATGACCCCACTAGTGCAATGACTCCCCCACTAATGTTTCAATCAGTGTCGGGGCTGTGGTAGCCTGTTCCAGGCGTTTAGATGGTAAAAGGCGGCGGTCAGATGGTGGGGAACGAGTTACAATCAAACAATGAAAACCGTGAACATCAGAAATATTTCTGGAATGTTATTGTCTTGCAAGAAAAAAGGCCAATCAGGCGTGAGAAAACTGAACCGCAAGCAAGAACGTTAATTAGTTATTGTTTCTGTAGCTTGCTCACATGTCCTGATCTTTGCTGTGATTTGCCGGTCATACCACAATAAACATTCCTGACATATTTCAATTGTTCGCGGTTTTCCCGGTCGCACTGTGAATTGTACACCAGGAAAACGGAAGAAAAAACAGGCTAGGGCTGAGGATGAACGAGATAAAGGCCTTTTCTCTATCAGAAGCGAGTTTATTATTTTATTTTCAGTGTACTTTTCCTAAACACCCCGACAAAAGGTTGGATATTTTTCTTTTGGAGTACCGTTATTACAATAAAACTGAACTTTTGTCAGTCTGGCGCTCCTCACTCGCTTAAAAAGCGCGAAAAAACAGAAAAATAAAAAAAACATAAAACATAAAACAATCGACCCTTGACATCTGGCTCAAAAGTGGGACTCAAACAAAAGACTCAGCTTTGACAACTGGTAATTCATCTTCTAATGGATAGCATGTATAACCGACAGGCTATTGTCAGTTTCCACGTCAATGGGCTCCTGCCATGCCTTAGTATAGTAATTTATTCTCAACTGGAAAACCCATACACAAAGCCAAACGAACCTAAATGCATAAGATATGGAGCTATGCGAGTCGGTTGACCAGGAGAGAATATGTTCCATACCAGTCCATCGCTGCGGAGAGGAGGGTGGGGCAAGAACTACTAACGAGGGTGCCGAGACCTAAACTTTACTAAAACTGGCTGAATAATCAAGCAGGCTGCTCTTTAAACTGAGGGGAAAGGTCTCTGGGTATGACGTGTATTCCTCAAAACCACGCTGAGAATGTTAAGAAGTGAATAAGGTTGCAAATTTTTGTGCGTTGTCCCCATTTCGATTAACACCCCTCCCTCTTGCCCTCTTGGGAACATTCGTGTTAAGCCTCTGACTGACCGACTTCTTTGAAGCCAATTTCACCAGGCCTTTTCTTTCCATCTTTCACTTCGACCATCCCAGGAGTCACGTGCCATTTAATCAAACACAATGTTTTACAAACTAGGCTTAACTCCTCGCTTTTTAACCCGGAAAATGAACCGTAGAAATTAAGAATACGTCTACCGTGCTTAATGTGTTTGCTAGTCAAGCTTACGAACAGATTATGATCCCCAGGAGACCGGGGACAGTAAAATATTGAATAGGTTCCGTTTTTGTTGTCCAGGACCTGAGCAGAAATGACACTACCGTCGGGCGACTCGAGCTGAACCGCGACTTCTCTCGGACGACCTCGACTGTCAGTCGTCGGAATCACGAATTCCGTTGGTGTTAGTTTGCCAACAGGTTCACTTGCCTTTTTGCCAACAGTTAAGGCGGGAAAACTAAAACGGCGACCCTTTGCCTTTTTGGTGGACTTTGGATCATTTAAAGAGGGCACACTCGCAGCCAATCTCGTACCAGTCCTAGACTCTTGCGATTCTGAGGAGAGAGAACTGGCACCAGCTTCTTCATCTTCGACAGACGCAAATGAGACGGAGCTTCCACCATTAGGCAATGATCCTTTTAACTGTATTTGGTCCTCGTTAGCTTGTTCGGGTGGTTCGTGTCCCACACTTATCGAGCCAAAAGCGTCTTTAATAGCTTCTAAAATAGGCCTCTCATCAGGATCAAACCCTATTTTGACACTGTTCAAATCTCCCCCTGTCTTAATCTCTTGCAATCCGCAAAGTCTTTGACAAATCAAGTTGTTTACCATCAGTATGTCCGCATCCCTTCCCTGTTTGAGAATCTCTTCGGAAAAATCACACCCGTCGATGGTACAAACAAGGTTTCTTTCAATTTCTTCCTTCTGTTTCATTAAAACCGAACATCGGTTATCTTTAATAGTGTTTAGCTCTCTTAACAACTGATGCTCCCTCTCTTTTATAGCTTGAATAAGGCGACGAGAAGTTCTTCGAATTTGCCACGAGATGTCATCGATTTTGTTTTGCCACCGACCGTATACCTTAATAATCTCGTACACCGACCTCTGAAGAGTAGGAATGTTTTTTTGCGTTGCATCCAGTAACGACAAAAGTGTTGGTTTAGTGGAATCCACTGCATTTTGTAAAGAGACAATTTCATGTCCTTCGTGATCGACAGTTCTTCTACACTCCTTACACGTCAATAAATCACAAGTTTTACAATACATATCTATATCCTCAGTGTTGTGATTAGCGCAAGTCATAAATGACGAATCGTCCTTAGGATTCGTTCGATCTACAAACTCTTCAAGAGACAAGATTTCATGTTCTCGAGTAAACTTCACTCTCCGATGAGCCAGGGTGCAATCTCCACAGAGAAATTCTTGGCATTGTAAGCACCTATTAACTGCTATATTGCGACCATTGTCGCAGCCACTACAGTCTTCTTCTCGTTGTCGTAACTTTTGCCTGTCAAATTCTTCGAGTTTTCTTAGAACAATAACATTCGATTTTAAATCTTCGACGTTTTTCGACGGTAGGGCAACCTCCGAACGGCATATAGGACAGAACAAAGAGTCACCATTTTCTTCGGTAATTAAGCCAATACATAGTTTACAAAACGTATGTAAACAAGGCAACAGTTTTGGATCATCGTACACTTTGCTGCAATATTTGCACCAGATACCTTCAGGACCTTCATCTCGAAATGCCACAGATTTTCGAGTACCTCGATTAGCCATTTCGTTGCAAGAAAGGACTGTCTTGAAAGGGCCTTGTAAATAATCTTAAAGATTTGTGTTTCTTAAGAAGTCTGGTCGTGAAACACAGCTTCCCCACTGGTACATCGACGTGCAGTGCCAGGAGTTTCAGCTGCAACGATTGCAAAAGTTAAGTATGAAACTATTTTGCACTAGAAATGTTTACTTAATTTGAAAACAGCCGCAAGCTGAATCGATTTGCTAGTCACAAATTGAAGTACTTCCTCAGGTGTGGCTACATTTCGTATGGTAAAAGTCAGAATCTTAATTCAGCATCGATTCAATTTCGCTTGGATTTTTAATAATTTATGAGGCGCGTTTTTATGAGTAGCAGGTACTACAAGCAAGGATGAAGGCAACACGTCAAACAAACGAAAGCTTTTAAGAGTAAGCGGTGTAGTTTGACTTAATTAAAACAAATCGTGTGATTTATTTAACTCCGACCTTCTGTTCGTGTTAATGTCTTATCTGTGATTGTTAGTTCTGCTCACATATTTGGTGGTGGTCGTGGCTATCTATTAAGTAGACCAAACAAAAACATTGATTTCCTAGGAACACCTTTATCTATTCAAGCATAATTCTTTTGCTCTTAAAGTTCACTCAACACTCATAATTATTGAAGCAGGCATTATTGATGTGGGTTTACAATTCTAAAAGTCAAAGCAGTTTTAGATATGTTTTATTTTCATTTAAAAAAAGGGAACTGAATACACTCAAAAAAATGATAATAAAATGAACAGAAATATATTGTTTTGATATGTGGATATTACGGTAGTACAATAAGTGGTTATCCACAGCAACAAAGAGAGGAAAAATCTCAGTTTAAATCTCCAAAGCTAGACGAAAACATAAGATTACGATGTTTATCGCCTCTTTATAGTTTCTGTAACGTTTATTATCTTGAAACAAGGCGGATAGAAAATTGAATCCTTTGGCACTGTTCAATTTGTTTATTTTTAAGACTTTTTGAAGGAAGTCCTTTAGTGACCATTCGAACGAAAGCTTTCACGTCGTTCGTTCGAGGTGATTGTACATGTTTATACTGGTTCGCTTTAAGCTCATCTACCCCAAACCAGTTCAACCTGTTGTTCAGAAGATGAATATCTCAAGTCTGTCTCATTGATAATCTCAGGTTCAGTATTGTATTTTGATTGATGTGTTTGAACTTGGCCCTTTTTTAAACAGTAAACTGGTAAACCACAAGAGAGCTGGTCTGCGGTATAGTAGAGGCGCATGAAAGAGAGAGGAAGCGGAGAGAACGAGTAGAAAGCGGCTGTTTTCAAGTCGTCTGGCGCGCAAAAGCTGAACCGAGGGCAAAACAGAAAAAAAGTTAAAACAACCTGCACGGACGCTACGAACCCCCCCTCAATGACACCTAACAGCCTAAGGTCTAGGCAAAAAGTTGAACTTTTTAAGACGAACCAATCTAATACATTAAAAATTTGTTTGATAATGCATATTTAGCCTAGTTCAGGAGAAAATTTAATACATGGATTTAGCCAGGGCTAAAGGCAAAACACTCGTTAATATTAACATTTGTAGTTTATTCAAACAAAAGATAGAATCGTGTAATGTTAAGCGGCGACGGCAGCGAAAACGTAAGACTAATTAGCAAAAAAAAAACTTTGCACGTGTAGCACACTTTTTTTTGTACATTTCTTTCCCGTTCTTTTGCACGACTACAACGTGAAACTTCCAGAAACATCCTAGTTACACGTTTTATGGAGGACTGGTATCGTATGTGTTGCTGGTAACTTTTTTTTCGCTGCCGCTTATTTTCACCTTGCTGGCCGCTAGCATTTCTCTTTTTTTTTCTCTGTAAACGTCCGGGTGGCCATGCGATTTACCGCCGAGACGCGCTGTTGATTGAAATGCAACATTTCACTCCGGCTTACATGAAGGGGTGAAGTACAAAATCGTCCACCGACGTACGTCCGTAAACTGATCAGAACCAAAATTTCTTGGATGCATAGATAGCCAATGTTCTTACCCACGGTGCTCCGCTGCGCGCGCACGAGAGCTCTGCTATTACTGTACTGATTTCTCTGATTTAGTTGATTGGTTCGACTAGGAGCCTCCTGGTTCGACCTAAGTTCGACGTCTGACCCAACAAAACTAGAGTTTGGTTCGCCTCATGTTTGGCCTAGGCCTCAGTCTCTTTTTAGGACACTTCAATAGTATCCCCCAATTATAGTCTAGTTAAGGAAAGCGAAATAGCATACCACTGTTGCATTAACCTTCTACAAAGCACATCGAAATACTTTCCTTTCGTTGTCGGTTGTTGTATTCTAAGGACTATAGCTAATACTAATCAGAGGAAAGTTAATCACCACAAGAAAAAGAAAAGAAATCAAACCGCACGTAATCTCCCTTCTCCCCGGGGTACTGCCATATATGGGCTATATAGGTATGTGCCGCTGTGAAGGGTATGGTTTCAAGCAGTTTACTCTAGGATAGGGTATATATATCAGAGAGTTTGGGTCTAGAATAGGGTATCATTTTCAGGAAACTGATCAATTGGTTGAAGATTTTATCCAGACTAGGGATTGCGGTATAAGGTTTTGTTTTGGCTAGACTGTGCTAGTAGTGACCTCAGTAGTTTCTGGAAAACAGCTACTCTAGGATAGGGGGATTTGGGGAGTTTACTCTAGTATAGGGTATCAAAATTCAGCTGAACTAGCTCTGGTATGGGTTAAGGGTTCCAGGGTCCCAGCGGCACATCCCCACCCACAAATTCCTAAAGTACCCCCCGGGTCTTCTCCTCTGTAAAACAGACCCTGTCTATCATGGCCGTACTGTACTAGGAAGACCTCATGTAACTAGGATACTAGAAGGTGAAACATGCCCTTTGTGTCATCCGAACGCTGGTCAATCCAAAAGTGACAGATTGGTTGTCGTTTAGACCGCAAAACAGGCGGTTTTTTCCTCAAAATCAGTAAAGAAATCGGTAAAGCGTGGCGTAAGAGCCTTACGCGCGCGAACCGCGCGAGCCTCACACGTGTGAGCCGAGAGAAAAAACCGTGTTTTTAGCGTCTCTCCCCAGTCTCGCTCCCTGTTTCCAGCCTCGTTCCACACCTTTTGTTTGACTGCTCGCGTGTACTTGAATACGCAAAAATACGGACTGTTTTGCAGTCTAGTTGTCGTTACACTAGGCTGTTAAGTAACACTTTCAAGCTCTTTTAAAAAAGAGCTGCTAAGTGTCCTAAGTTTTACCACCAAAAATGCGTGTGTGAAGGGCTAAGTAAGATCTCATTAAGTCGGAAAGTTGAAACGATTCAAGAAAGTGCCTTTTCTTTTTTTTTCTTCAGATTTAGTAAGGGGAGTGCCTCTCCCGTCTCGCACCTTCAGTCACGTTCGTGGTCATTTGCGTGTCTCGGGTGTTATGATCGACGGACCAAGAAAAAAGAGGGACTGCTCGTAGTCTACCGACTTAGCGAACTTGCGGTTCTTGGCTAAACTTTGAGAAAAGCGAAGCATGTCAATGAATCTTAATTATGTTGCGTCGGAAAATAGGCTGAAGTAAACCTGAAGTAAAAAAGATAGGTTGTGTGTGAAGCTTTCTTTTACTTGAAGAATTTAAAATGTACTTGTCTTGAAATATTTCTTCGTTTTTCTCATTCTCGTCCCCAGAGCCACTCGGCTTAATTTGTAACCGACCACATGACCAAGAAACGACGGGCTCTGGGGACGAGAATGCGTTTTTTTAGGCTCTAGTGTACAGTGTAAAGACTACCATTGATTTCCTATGGGGCTTGATTGTCCCAGGAGAGCTTAAAGTTTGAAAATGGAAAATCCTTTTTTTCTCTTTAGTTCTTACAAATCCTCAGAAAAGCAAGCTTCTTTTAGAAAGAGCACAGTGCCCCCTCCCTGGTAAAATCCCAAAGACAATGCGACACTTGTCAGAAAAGAGAACATGAACAAAACATATGACAGCTTGGTGGCGTAACGCAACGGGTACTTTATTCAAATGCTAATATATTCCGAAGCTTTTTGTTTCTGTGTATAATCCTAATTTGAATATAACAAGACGCACGCGACGTTGAAAAGAAATTTTCGAAAGAACTACACATCTTAAGTGACTTTATAACTTTTTCAAAACAATGGCTCGTCTCAACCGTGAAGATAGAAATTTTACAGGTTCGTTGCCGGACTTGAAAGCTTCCGTAAAAGCCACTGAACACCAGACAAAGGTCATAGACAAGAAAATATTAGTTGCCGAAACTCATTTTCCTAAGCTGGCTGCAATGCTTCAACGGTACGCCGTAGGGACAGCAAAATTACGAAACAAAGGTGACGAGCTGGCGAAAACAATAACAGCATATGCTGAGGAAGAATCGCCTTCATTGAAACAAGGGCTTAATGGTTTAGCTGAGTGTCTGTCCGCGATACAGGATCAAAGAGACAAAGAAGTCAGCCGTATTGAGGAGAAACTCGTTCAAGGGTTCAGTGTATACGATACTAAGTGTAAACAAGCAAGGAATGATGTTAGAGTAAGTTCGTCGCTTTCCTCGAGGGAAGTAAAGTCGTTCGAAAGCCTTGAAAAAGCGCAAATGAAATCAACGGACCGAACACGGATCGCCCGAGCACAAGCTGAGTTCCAAAAAGCATCTGGCGAAGCGAATCGTTCCCTGCGGGTTTTGCGTGAGCAAATGAACGAATTCGAAAGCCAAAAAATGCGGGATGTCAGGCAGATTTTATCGGATTTTGTAGTCGGTGAAATGGAATTAATAGCTCGCTCTATGGAACTTTATACTCGGGCTTATCAAGGATTAATGAACATTAGCGAAGAGGACGATTTGAATGAGTTCAACAAATCCATGACTTTTAAACCACCCCAATGGGGTTCACTACCCGTTCTATCCGGACGTTATGGTAAAGGAACATCCATGGACAATGTTTTAGAGGAGGTCGAAGACGAAAGCGATACTGATATGAATCGTACAATGTAAAATTCTTGTTTCGAAAATATTGATAATTATGCACATAAATTTCGATTCAAAATATGTTAGTACAGTCAAACTCCGTTAATACAGACACTGAGGACCCGGAGTGGTCAATTGATAAAAATCGGTATCGATAAAAATCGATAGCAATCATGTGATTTTTATCGATTGATAACATAAATCGGTAAAAATCGATAAAGTAAATTGCTGTATCAAATCGATATTATCAAATATTCATGATTTTAACGATTTATAACGGAAGTCCGTCATTGTAGTTTAATGGTATAAGTTAGATAGTACAGCTGAGAAAAAACATTATACACACAAGTTTCTCTCTAAGACCCTTTTATTTTGTACATAATAACAAAAACGGTTTTCCTAGACAGATTTTCACCCTTTTCTGTTATCAACGGATAAAATTACTAACGATTTTTATCTGTTGGCTACTCCGGGATGTAACTATAGCCGGAACTACAGGCAGAAGATCTAAACTGTGAAAAACTGGGCGCCTACAAACCTCCGGGCCAATATCAGCCATCAGAGGAAGATTTTAAACCTGGTTTTCAAGAAAAGATAAGATTTTTAGGATTTTTTTTAAAGTGATAATTGTTTGATCCTTCCACTCTCAATTGCAACTCAATTGTCAACAAATTTACTGCTTGCATGTGATCAGTTTTCATATTTGGATGAACAGATGAACAGATGTATCTTCCGATATAAATCGATGAAATCGGTAAAATCAGTAATCGGCTCCTGGTAAAATCAAGATAAATCGATTAACGAAACGAGTGTGTCATCGATTTCTCACAATCTCCAAAGTTAGTTGCTATATTTCAGGCTTGTTGTTCTAATTTTACCAGGCAGGGGCACCCAACGACCGAATGTTTCCAAATACGCCAGAAGTGTGTCAGATGGTTTTCTCTAAGCTTTAGAAGCCTGTTTGGTTAATTTGGAGTAGCCCTAAAAACCTTTTATCTGTTCCGATGTCTTAGGGGAACTTTGGTTGTCACGAAAGTTTTAGGTGGCTTTTTCGTCTCATCCGAAAGTGTGAGCTACCCTTATGGGTCTGGTGGAAAGTTTGAGGACGTGAAGTAGCCTTGTTTTCATTAGGAAATTATAGGGGACGCTTTGTCTTTATACCGAAAGTTTTAGGAGACCTTTTTTTAAACAATAATCGCAATACTTTGGTATTAAATTGTGAATAACACAACCTCCGAAAATCGTAGTTAGTACGTGTAATCAAATGGTGACGAGTGAAATTAGGGAATAATTTCACGAGTATACCATTTGATTACCTGTTAATATCATGGGTGACGAATTACGTTTGCACTCTTGGATTTTTGACATGTTTATCCTGGATCGTATCGATCGAGAACTCCTGTACTCTGTCGAACGTTTAGAGCTTAAATTTGGCTTAAGTTCAGAGTTTTTCGACAAAATATCTGTTAGAATCCTTCTTGATGTACTCTTTGGTGCGTTCAGGTTTTCTAAAGCGTCTTTTTGTGCCCTGGCATCTTCATTCTTGACATTTTAAAACTTCGTCGCCATCTTCACACTGAGACGTACGGACGGTTGCCATGGCAATTTTGTAATTTCACATGTGCAATTACAAATTAACGCTGAAATTTCGCGCCAAAATTAAGGAGTAATTCGTCACCTATGATATTAAGGCTGAAATCAGGGCAGTTGATAGCCAATCAGATTTGACAATTTTGTTATAGTTATGATTAATATAATAATCAACATTCGAAATATGCCTAATTCAACAACTAGAGAAAATAAACATCAACAAAAATTCCTCTTTTCTTCAACGACGATTTGCCTCACAACCAACATCGGACATCGACTTCAGCAACAAAACACGTTCAACAATTTGGGAACGAGCGACTGGCTATGGTCGAGGGAGGTTGGGACCCAGAATTTCTAATAACAGGGCATGCTGGGAAATAGAGGCACGAGGAAACAAGAATACCAACTGCGGACGCTTCCAAAAGCGACGAGACTGGATTAGGCAACGCTTAAAGTTTACAGTCAAAATTATCTTCTTCGATGCAGCGATAGGCAGCAAGAATTATGCACTTCAAGAACATCTTTCCAAAGACTCGGGACAGCCGATCAGCCTTTACACGAGGAGCAACAATGGGTTTTACAGTAAGCTTTCTTCATGTTTCTTTTACAATGAACAGTTTAGAACAACGATAATGTGTGACATGTTTACGGAAGCGTTACATTTGTAAACACAATTCTTACATTTACTTCCCCAAAACCATCCCAAGTAAAATATATTGTCATTGTATAGCAGCCTCATACATAATCACAAATGTTTCTTTCAAGTCAAGCATAACAAAAATTTATTATTGCTGGCCACCTATTTTCCACCCTATTTAATATTTGAAAAGAACATCTGCATTTCGGATCTCGTCACAATATTAGTGTGTGACATGTGAGGAAAATTAATCATTCCCATTAAGTCAAGTCAGAGACTTTCAGTATAAGTCAGGGAAATTAAATGTAAGTCTTTCAAAGAAGCCAGAGGGAGGTAACATATTTCTGCATACTCATCGAAGTTAAACATGTTCCATTGGCAGAATATTGTATCAAGAAATCAAACGACAAGCAGATATAGGGTTTCCTATGAGATCCATCCATTCTGCACTTTACATTCACGAGAAATTCATGTATTAACTAGGTGCACAGGTTGGCTGTGATGGGAGTTTGGGCATGTGTAACAGGCACAGATGACACATAAAACAAAAGAACAAACCATGAAAACATACCAAGCAGATTTCCCTGAACAGAAAACAAAGAAGTCTTTTGCTTTACATCATCTGTGTCCAGTACACGAAGTTTTGACTGGAATTTAGAATCCATTAATATCTGCACAAATTGTCAATTCATTTGGTCAGGGAAAGTGTACATTTGACTGCCAGTCTGGGAATTTAAAAAAACTATGCCTCTGGCAACCATGTCTCAACAAGCTCATGCATGTTGATCGAGAATTGAAATACTGATCACCTTCAACATTACTTTTAGGTGGACATTTTATACACATTCACTCTTGCATGAGTATTTGTTTCTCATGCATGTACACAAAAATAACTATATAAACACTTTCATAAATGATTTGGCATTTTTACTGTGATAATTCAGTGCTAATGAGGGTACCGCATATTCAGTAATCATGACTCATGATCACTTTCATAGTTCTCCTCAACTGTATCCTTAATGACATAGCCTGGGACCTTGCTCTGTAGTGGGGGAAAAAGGAAAAAATAGGGGTCAAATAGGACAAATATCACATATTACACATTAAAGATAGCATGTGTTTGCCTCATATTCGCCTGCAGTTATTCACTCTCACACCCATTTTCTTTTGCTATATTACACATGTACATTTACTCATATTCTCTCCCCCTTCCACCCCTGACATTATATGCGCCCCCCCCTTCCGAGCTTCGCGAGGTTCTGCGATACACGTATTTCTAGTTGTTATTGAAACGAGTCCGTAATTGTAGTGACCAAGCGACAAAGACAATTAAAAACACATACTTTTACAACTGAAACATGACAATTCATCCAACTTTACCGCCTCCTCCAAAACCGTTCCCCGCCCTCAAAATAGGTTTGATATTCATCCCCAGGCTAGAGTCGGTACATATGAAACCAAGATGGCCGCTCATAACGCAAAGGGCTCGATCTCGACGATAGTACGGAAAACAAGAGAGAATGAGCTATGAAATATTCCTGGAAGAAGAGAAAAAATATCTTGCACATTTGCATAAACAACTGAAGCCAGCCACTTATTTAAGGTTTCTTATTTGGCCGGCCGTGATAACGTTTCCCTTTGGCTTTCACGGTGTGTCAGTATTCAATATTCGTTACTTTAAATGAGGCTACCAGCCGTAAGAAGATCTCAATTTTTAATCTCAAAGTGAAATTTTGACTCTAATACTGCAATCTCTTTGTAAATGAAATTCATTCCTAAATTATGAGCGGAACGCGCTGATAAAAAACATGTCATTAAACTTTCAGCGCGCTACAAACAGCTGTCAAACTTCAAATGTTTGACTGTGGGAAAATAGGGAACTGTGAACAGCCCTATGCAACTACGCACGTGCTTTTCCATTTTTCATAAAATGATTAAAAATAACTGATATGTTTATTGTTATTAAAACGTTTCGTACGTAATTGTAGGTGACCAAACGACAAAAACAGCACATAGTTATTAAACACCTACCACTTTATTGCTATTTTAATTTTGCAGGTCTTTAATTTCGCGGTTTTCGAGATTGTTAAAAAGTCGCGAAATTAAACGCACGCAAAAGTTAATACCCACATTAAAAAATTCGAAAAACAATTGACATGTAATAGCAACGATATGCACCGACAAACACAAATTGCTTTCTGGTTTTGCTAGTAAGCTCCATTGTTTATCTTCCGTTGTGAAATGACGTTAGTTTGAAAAGATTTCACCCATTTCTTGTTCCAGTTTATCCATTTATTTTTAAAAGTTCAGAATTTTTAAAAAAGGAAAATGAAGATGAGAACACTTTAATCGCGAAATTTAATGCCCTTTTTTCATGAAAACAAGACCCAGAAACAGCACATAGTTATTTTTTATTCTTCTATACAAGAAACCTATCATATGTAATGATTGTCCCTATCACTTAACAGAGGCTTAAAAAGCCAGCGAAGAAAAGTAGAGTGTTTGTTCTCTCTTCTTATAGTTTTGTTTTTTAATGACAGTATGCATGTAAAACCTATTGAAATTGTGTTTTGTTGTCTATATTTTACGCACATCTTGCAACTACTGACGGCCTCGTGTTTATCAAATATTCCAAATTTGTTAGCGGACAGTGGCATAAGAAACATTTATTCAAGATAATTATTAAGAAGCGATTGGTGATATTTTATGAAGTAACTAGTGATTGTGCGCCATAGACTATAGATACGTGTCTAAATTTTCCTGTTTCACTTTTTACGATTGAAACTTTTAACCGACAATGGAAGAAACATTAACCATAAGGAAGCAAAGAAATTGCTAACAGGTCAAGGCTAAATTCAGGCCCGTGGGAGCGAATTTGAAAGTGAGAAGGCACATAGTTTTTAAAATAGAAAAGGGATTTGCCTAATTGCCTTGTGTTATTAACTCAGTATTTTCGACGGTAAAGTGATAGTCTTTACTGTTTTTATATTTTCGCCCAAAAAGTGCGGGAGGGGGGAGGGGGGTGGGGCACAGACCTAGTTGGCCCCCCTACTCCTACGGGCCTAAAATTGATGTAAAAAAGTGACAAGACAAGTGGTAAAAGAATCCCTTTTCAGCCTTCACATTTTAACAAGACAATGTCAAACAACACAGATTTCGATCGTGACCCACCAAGTACAGGCGAAGGAAATGTTAAACTTCGCTTTTACATTGCTTCTCTTCTCTTAGGTTTTGGAGGTAACAGTTTGGTAATAACAGTGATGTCAAGAAAAAAACAGAAACGTTCGATTCCCAGACTTTTTATTCTGAATCTTGCTATTTCCGATTTAAGCTTCATCATGATAGCTACACCTCGATGCACCAACAAACATCTACTCTTTGTAATTTACAAGGACGGAATACCAGAACCAAAAATCCAAGTAAACCACTTAACACGGTGCGCGACATAAAACGAACTCGACGAGAAGTGAAGGAAGTAACATGAACAGATTTATTGAACCAGAGATCAATGTTCCTAGCACAGAGGTCACAACTTGATACAGAAGAATCGACGGGGTCGATTGACAAGACAAAAGGTCCTTAAGTTGTGAAATCGGTACAAGTCGTACAAAGTCGGTTCGAACTGAAAACGATAAAATCGAACGAAAACTTAGCTAAGAATACATAGAGTGCAAATATATCTGACTAAAAACCGATGATACCATATTGCGAACGAGAACTAAATAACACTAGAAAATACATTAAATCAGCCTATAAAGTTATTAAAGTAATACGGC